AGAAATTTTAATTTTAACTAGCTAGCTACAGAATTTCTTGTCCATCTTATCAGAAAGTAGAAAATCATACAAATTTGGCTAATTTGAAAAAAAAAACTCAACCAGAAAGCAAGGCCTGTGACCATGTCAGTATTTTTGTTTTAATTCAATTCACTCAATGACTCGCTTAAAATATAACCTATATTTTTAATGTTATCATCTTTGTTACACCTGGAGACCAGCTCTTTTCAAAAGGTCTCAAAAGCTATAAACATATTATAATATCTGTCACTCTGATTGAAATGAATCACAATTGTATTATAATACTGATTGGATTTTGATAAGTGACTAATGTAATTAAAGACCGATTTAGATTGATATATAATTATAATAAGGTTAAATAAAGGCTATACTATATAGATAAAGTATAATATATATCATACCTTTGTTGTATGACATTTCACACAAGGGATAAAGTCATAATGGCATTAAGTCATGTAAGCCAATATACGACTTGAAAATATTTTTTTTACTATGGGAGGACTGTTATTTAGTGAAAGCCTTGTTTTGGATAATTGATACAAGAATTTGAGGTAAAGTACACTGTTCTTTGAGATGCTTTTGTGATAAGAATTCACAAGTTTTCGAGATGCCAATATTTACAATTGGTCAATATTTGATGAAGCGGAATATTAATTCGACACCTAAGAAGTAAAAGGTCGTAAGTGCATTTTTCATAATTTTCAGGAACAGAGTTTAAAGGTTTGTACCTGTCTAAAAAGAATCAAAACTTGAATTCAGAGAAAACCAATTATTCTTATGTTAGATGTTATTATATCATCTTTATTTTCTTATATACAAACATACAAAATATCTAATCAATCAATCAATATCATCAATACTGTACATACGCCCTTTTTCTCCTACTACTTTTTGCTAAAGACATTAGAATGAAAAGGTCGCATATGGCAAATATGACCTTATGCCGCCGAGGATTTTAAGTTAATAGAATAACTGTTCATTCATATAAGGTAGTATTTGACAAATACTACCCTTTCATTCTTAACAAATACACAAAACTTACACATACTAAGGGTGACATATGACACATCTGACCTTTTACCACTTACTTTTTTTTTTGAAATCGTGCACATTCACAATAAAATTAAAAACAATTATTCCTTTTGAAAATACAATGTACATTGAATATATTGTTTCTTCATATATGTATTTAGAATAATGGGTCACAATCACTAAAATGGCATAAACAGTCCTATAAGCAATGGAATGAAATTATATAACAGTTTGAAAGTGTTCAAGTATTAAATGATAAAGGCGTAAAATCCATAAAAGTTTTCAAGGGTAACACAAATTAAACTTTTACAGTTCCGCCATCATATCGTCACATAATCACGATTGTCCGTTTTAAGATGCCATCCTTATACATCCCAACTTTTAAACATAAAATCAATCAGAGATTTTTCTCACTTAAATTTCTATACATGTATAAAACACATACTTTTTAATTCGTCTGTTACAATGTTAGCAGTTATTGTAAATTGTTCACCAATTAACATTCTTCTTGTTCATACTCTGAATTTTCAGGAAGGAAGTCTTTGTTGCTTTTGTTTGTTAGTAAGCTAGCAATATATGAGTGGAACTCTTCGGGAATAATGTCTTTCGTGCAAAGAAATTCTCACATAATATCTGTTTATATTTCGATTCTCTTACACCAATCCTTGTAGAGTTGCCACTTACGCTTTATCATGGGCTACATATTGTTTCTTAGAACTTTTTCTAGCGTAGTAAATTTCTTTTATGTTCGTACGCGAATTTCACACTTGCATCATTGATTTTTGTACTGGGTGTGTGCCTACCCCTCAAATCTGTTCCTTGAAATGTACCATTTGTTTTTAAGAGTGTACCGTATCAGCTTCTCACCAATATCGAGAGTTTTAAGACAGAACTTCTGGCAAACACGGATGCTTTCTTCTCCTTTGAAAAAACTGTATTTCAACGATTCTTTTCTTTTACTTTTAGTGCTTCTAACCGGGTCGCTTTTCGATACAACAACGCAAATAAAACATCGTAGCCTCTCATAAGTTGGAAGTGCATAATACATTTCAAATATATTTTTTTCTCTGTTTCCGTGAAGTTACTGTTCCATTTGAATCTTCATTTAGAGCAGTCACTTTGTTTAACTCCTTTTTCCTCTCACTGTTTTACCCGATTTTGATTTGCAAGATTTTCATTGCAGTTTGTTTCTTTTACGTACAGGTGACTGCCACTCTTTTTTCATTTCATTTTCTTTTCCGGATTGTTTAGCGTCTGTTTAGGGCTGTTATAGTCTGCACGTTTGTGTGCTGTAACAGGAATATGGTTTCCATTCCCACAATGTTCCATTGAATTAACTCTTGGTGTATTATCAGGGGGAAGTTCAGTATTGTCTGGTTGTATAATGACTGGTTTGGTTGCATCTTAATGCTCATTATTCCAGAATGCAATATACACTATTTCCATTTGCTGGTTATATTCATCTTGTTTCCAGTTTGATTGCTTAACATTAATAAATGGAGTCGAAGTCGAGCTTGAATATATCCGCACTTCACAATTTAAGTAGTAAGTAGCAGCTATAGAGATGCAATCGGCTAGAGTTGCATCCCAGTGACCATTGCTTCTCATAATGCTTATGAGATATAAGCATTATGAGACGCAATGGTCACTGGGATGCAAAAACATCACTTTGATTCTCGCTTTATGATATACTTGTCAAGAAAGATAAGTATATGTCCTTATTTTGTTGAATGTGATCACATAGCGAATTTTGAAAAGTATCTACGTCCTTACATTAATTGTTGTTAACACTCTCAGCAACAGCTGCAAAGAAACAGTTTCATTCTGTGGGAATTTAAACTCGTTTTCTTATTTTTACTGTTAACAGATGGTCAAGTCTAGCCTCATGCAGTCCATTTAACCGTGCCTTAAGTGATGCAATTGTCTTGCTACACTTCACTGCTTTTTATAAATTCATCATGTGTTTGTAAGTTTCTTGATTTTGTTTCTTCTTTCTTTTAAAAGTTTTATTGATCTTGTAGGGGACTTTCCTTCTTTCGTTTGTTCAATCATTTCTTGGACTTATATTTTAAAATGTAGATGCTTTTTTTCTTCCACGATCTGTTTCTGCAACAAGTAATTTGTTTCCTTTTCTTCTGTCTCCCTTTTCACTGTTTTATTTTTTGGAACTCTTCTGTCTCTGAATCTGTAGCATTTAGTATATTCTTTTGTAGATCATATGATATGTCCTGGTTACAATCATCAGAATACTCAGTATCTGTAACGATTAACATTCGCCAAAACAGACTTCCTTTCTTTTCCTTTAAAAATCATATTCCAGTAACTTTGAAAGTGGTATATCGTCATCAGAAGAACTTGTATGATGTTGGGCGTCTCTGTGAAGCTTTCCATTGATTTCTTTTACGTTTTTGTCCGCTGCTGCTATCCTGTATTTCATGATAATTCAAATGTTGTCCCTTGTTTTTGGTCTGCTTTTCATGTTTGTTCCTGTGTAACTAAGTAACGTATCTCATTGTCATTCACAGTTATTCGATCCTTGTAATATCCATTTCCATGTTATCTTGTAGCTAGAATATAATTTCCACAGTCTCGTTAAATGTCAGCTAACTGTTTTATCATCAATTTTGCATCCGGCAATCTAGACGTTATAGTATGCTTATTATGAGTTTAGCACAAGACCTAGTATAATATTGACGATTTCATTTTGCATTCACTTATTAGATACGTTCGTCATTAGTCCGTGAGCCTGGTCCATCACTACACAACGATTACTTTTTCTTGATCATTCACATGTTTATGATCCTGATTACTTGGCTGTATTTCAGATGGATTCACCTGCTGCTCCTTGTTACTACCATGTATTTCATATTCATGTACATGTTTCTCGTCTTTACTTTCTTTGTCTGAAATGAAGAATATGGAATAAAACATGTGTTAAATTCAATTAAATGCATTTACTGAATAATAATCACATAAGTTAATATGCAGTGGTAAGGTTTCATATAGTGGTAAGGTTTCATATAGTATACATGACTTTCTTGGTCCTTTTATAGTATGCTTATTACTTATGATGATGACTTTTAAATCAGTTTAATCAGCAACTCGCATAAACTCCCACCTTCCATAGACAATAACAGTAATATTGTATCAGCATTTCCAGTCACAAAGTTTATTTTCTTCCACATTGTTTAAGACAATTACCTTTATTGACAGCCACATTAATATCAAAGTACATCTCATCATCTGACAATTCAAATACATCTATAGGTCTTCCTACAAAGAAAGCGTATACTTATTACTTAACAAATTTTATTATTTGGCAGTTAAATGCAATCAAAGAAATATGTACTGGACACAATTGATTAAGTTACATGCACATAAACATACCAGACTACCTACTGAACAACTTATTTTGCAGAATAAGAATACTGGTTATTTACTAGTATTAGAATATTGTCTCTAAAATATGATATAAACTATTTTACAAATTAATTATTTTGCAAAGACTTTAATGAAATTGTACAAACCTGATTTTCTTTCATCCATGATTCCTTCTTGTAAACATAACCACAAATGAACGTGGAAAGTTTATGATATTAGAGAAATTCTTATGTTATCATGTACTGAAATGATATTCTCTATAATCTATAACACTGCTAATTTGTTCAGATAAAGGGGGCATATGTTTCACATTGAGTGATTTGCTTAGAAGGAAAAGGGCGTAATTGGCAAATACTACCCTATACGTCAGTTTTGGCATAATGTTTTGCAAAAAAAGTTGAGAATGAAATGGGCATATTTGTCAAATCTGCCCTTTTACCGGTAATTTAGTTTCACTTAAGACCTTTTACCGCTCATTGAAATTAAAAAATGGTTGTTATGGCCTTTGATTTCTAATCAATAACAAAGTCAATAAATGGAATATAGCCAAGATATTTTTACAGAATATGCACATTGCTATGTGTATCACAGAAATGTTTAAATCTGATTTTCGGCAAAATGTAAGTTACGACCTTTTACCACTCAGGTGACGAATTATAAGCTATTCAGCCAATATCTATGTTGAAAATTGCATGCGACCAGTAAAGACCAAGTTCAGCTTGAACAGTGCATGGTCAGCACTGTTTTTGCTATTCTGTTAGTATCTATTTTGAAACTTTTCCTTAAAACGATTGTTTTATCCAGATTGAATCGTTGTCAAGTCCATTTACGATTTTTTACATGGTGAGGGAAATAAATATGCATAATTAGATTAATTTTTTAACTATAAATATATATGTTAATATTTTCATATTTTCTCGTTACAGCAAGAGATAGAACAAGGAGATAAAATGCGAGCAGACGGCGATCAGTATATCATGGATGACCACTACGCTGTAGATAGTATACGACCAAAATGTATAGAGTTACAGAGAATGTGCGAACAATATCGGCAACTTCTGAGACGCCGCAGAGAGATATTGAACAAGTCACATGATCTGCATGAAAGGATCGAAAAGGTTTGTTTTTCAGACATTAAAATTATGTAGTTTCAACATGGGATTTGCTTGAACACCCAGTACCAACATTTTTCAACTTACTTATTTTATAAAAACATAGCAATTGTCTATTGGCTAAAATATGGATCTGTTGTGATCATGAATTCTTGTGTGCAAAACGTTATTGTTTTGTTACATCATGTTATGAAATGTCAAAAAGATGAACTGTAATTATTTTGATTGAAATTAATTTATGATAAATGTGACTCATACATGTGTTGGTTCTGGTTGCTGCATATTGTATGACAAACTGTGACAATAAAAGCCAACTCTCAATAAATCAGCATACTTATGATAAAAGTTATGTGAAATAAAGCAGAACATTTTGTTACTGTTAGAATTAATGAGAAATATGTAACATCCGAGTGTGTGATTATAATTTTGACATTAAAATTAATATGCAAAAATCTAAGATAAAAACATGTAAAAAATCTACTCTGTTTTTATAATCTGTATATCAGATCTGGTTTTTAAGGTTTTCAAAACCTGTAAAATTTGCCTCAGCTGTTTTCAATATAAGCTATAATGAAATAGACAAAATATGTCCTTGAGCCATTCAGTTATTAGATTTGAAAATAAAAAAAGATCTGTTATTATTTTTATTAATTGAGACATGTGACTTTCTTGTTTCATTAAAATCTTAAATTCTTCCTTGAAATATCAACATCATCTCTTAACATCCAATACAAAATATATGATTTCTTAATTTCTTAAGTGGACTACCTTTTTCTATTTAAAGATCTTTAAAAGACTTACTTATTGATTATTGAAATGATAGGTTTTCTCCAAAACTTGATGTTGCTATCTTGTTGAATTATGCAAGACCACATTAACATTTGGATTGTGTAAAAGAATAATTTGATCACACTCGAGTGTTTTAAAAGTTTTACTAAGTAAATTTGAAAAGTTATAATTCATTGTAGATTTAAGGTGTTTTTGAGCAAAATATCTTGTTTTGAGAAAAATAGATTTTCCATGGGAAAATTTTCAATTTAAAGCTAATAAAATTTAATGTCAGAGGTGTTCAGTTTTTCACAAGTTAAAGATTATAAATTTCAGACTTACAAATAGTGTTATATCAGACAATTACATGTTTTAAGACTTTAAGTAGTGGTTATATGTTTAAAGTTGACATATTATAAGCCTTTAATAGGTGTGTTCTCTAATGTAATTGATGTACATATTTTAAACATATGTGTTCTATTTATAATAAATTAATTTACATATTTAAGCCTGTAATTTAATTTTAATGTTCTACTTGTAATTGACCTGCCTATTTCGAGCCATTTGGAGGGAGTTTATTTGAAATTTACCCAATTTAAGCATATAAAAGATGTTCCATTTATATTTAACCTATTTCAAGCCTCAAAAAGGTGTTCTTTTTAGCTCGACTATTCGATAAGAATAAGTAGAGCTATTGCAGTCACCCGAGCGTCGGCGTCGGCGTCGGCGTAACCACTTATGTTAAAGTTTTTGTAATAGTTCAAATATTTTCAAAGTCCATTGACATATGGCTTTGAAACTTTGCACACTTGTTCACCATCATGACCCCAACCTGTAGACAGAAGGAGGTAACTCTATCAAGCATTTTGACAGAATTATGCCCCTTTTTCGACTTAGAATTTACGTTAAAGTTTTTGTAATAGTTCAAATATTTTCAAAGTCCATTGACATATGGCTTTGAAACTTTGCACACTTGTTCCCCATCATGACCCCAACCTGTAGACAGGAGGAGGTAACTCTATCAAGCATTTTGACAGAATTATGCCCCTTTTTCGACTTAGAATTTACGTTAAAGTTTTTGTAATAGTTCAAATATTTTCAAAGTCCATTGAACATATGGCTTTGAAACTTTGCACACTTGTTCACCATCATGACCCCAACCTGTAGACTAGGAGGAGGTAACTCTATCAAGCATTTTGACAGAATTATGCCCCTTTTTTGACTAAGAATTTACGTTAAAGTTTTTGTAATAGTTCAAATATTTTCAAAGTCCATTGACATATGGCTTTGAAACTTTGCACACTTGTTCACCATCATGACCCCAACCTGTAGACAGGAGGAGGTAACTCTATCAAGCATTTTGACAGAATTATGCCCCTTTTTCGACTTAGAATTTACGTTAAAAGTTTTTGTAATAGTTCAAATATTTTCAAAGTCCATTGACATATGGCTTTGAAACTTTGCACACTTGTTTCACCATCATGACCCCAACCTGTAGACAGAGGAGGTAACTCTATCAAAGCATTTTGACAGAATTATGCCCCTTTTTCGACTTAGAATTTACGTTAAAGTTTTTGTAATAGTTCAAATATTTTCAAAGTCCATTGACATATGGCTTTGAAACTTTGCACACTTGTTCACCATCATGACCCCAACCTGTAGACAGGAGGAGGTAACTCTATCAAGCATTTTGACAGAATTATGCCCCTTTTTCGACTAAGAATTTACGTTAAAGTTTTTGTAATAGTTCAAATATTTTCAAAGTCCATTGACATATGCTTTGAACCTTTGCACACTTGTTCACCATCATGACCCCAACCTGTAGACAGGAGGAGGTAACTCTATCAAGCATTTTGACAGAATTATGCCCCTTTTTCGACATAGAATTTACGTTAAAGTTTTTGTAATAGTTCAAATATTTTCAAAGTCCATAGACATATGGCTTTGAAACTTTGCACACTTGTTCACCATCATGACCCCAACCTGTAGACAGGAGGAGGTAACTCTATCAAGCATTTTGACAGAATTATGCCCCTTTTTCGACTTAGAATTTACGTTAAAGTTTTTGTAATAGTTCAAATATTTTCAAAGTCCATTGACATATGGCTTTGAAACTTTGCACACTTGTTCAACATCATGACCCCAACCTCTAAACAGGAGGAGGTAACTCTATCAAGCATTTTGACAGAATTATGCCCCTTTTTCGACATAGAATTTACGTTAAAGTTTTTGTAATAGTTCAAATATTTTCAAAGTCCATTGACATATGGCTTTGAAACTTTGCACACTTGTTCACCATCATGACCCCAACCTGTAAACAGGAGGAGGTAACTCTGTATCAGGCATTTTTTTTACTATCAAGCACTAAGAATAGTCGAGCGTTGCTGTCCTACCGACAGCTCTTGTTATTATTAACCTATTAAGGTGTGTCTGTGGCCAAATGGTTCACTGCTTTGTGTTGGAATCCCAATAGGGCCTTTTGATTTGTTCATGTGAGGAATCTATCCAGCTAACTTACAGCATGTTGGTGGTTCGACATGGTGCACTGTTCGTGCCTGAATTAATGCAATTTGAAAGGGCACCTTGGGTATTCCTCCACCAGTAAAGTTGCCATATGACCTATACTGTGTGGCAACTTAAAACCCAACCAAAAAAAATGACCTATTTAAGCCTTTAAGTGGTGTTGTAATAGTAATTTTTATCCTTTCAAGTTTTTAAGAGTATTCTGCTTGTGAATAATATGTTTAATTTCTATATAAATGTTGTTGTCTTTAATTTCAGGCTAATAAGTGGTGTTCTAATGGAATGGACATGCTAACAAGCCAGTTAGAGAATTGTAACACCCCAGAGAGTATTCGTCAAGCTATTGAAGATATAGATAAATTTGTTGTCACATCCAAGGATCTTAAATTAAACAATCCTAAAGAATTCCGACAACTGTTTGACAGTGTTATCACATCGGATACAAGGGTAAATAAAGTGTTTGTAATCCATTCTAGTTTTGTAGGAAGAGTACTCAGTACATAATTATTATGTTTATTATTTTATTTTCAATAATTTATGTAAAAAAGCAGTGGGAGAATGTTTATCTACAGGTTTAAATTACATGTACAAGCTCAGTACTTTATCATGTAATCCTCAGTAATTTGATCAAACGTTTTCTGTGATGAATTGTTTGATTGTAGTAGAGCAAACACATTTATCGTTTATTCTTCTCACTCCAGTGTCAATGAAGATACTTGTATTGGCATGACAGTCATGAGGTTTTGAGTGTATATTCATTTCATTTAAATTATTAACTGTAGACTCTTAAATCTCAAGGATCATTATTGTAGATCACTGTTCAAGGTCCATAACTCTTATTGTTGATCATTTCTAAATTTCTCCTCTTGCTTTACACAGACTTTATTTTTTGTTTGATTGTTTAGGAAGTAATAAGCTTATAGCAACACTTTTGAATCTGTTCCTGGAACCAACAAGTACTGAGCAATGAATTTAAAGTTTCATGCTCAAAGAAATAATGATTTGCCCCTTATAGGTTTTGAATCCATGTAGCTAATAATTATTAGATTACTAGTCCAATGTGTTAACCACTCAGCCATGCCATATAAATTTAGCTTGTCTTAAGAGGCAAGCAAGTCAATTAGTCAAGCACTGCTTCATCGGCTGCTCTTGTTTCAGTTCCATACTATTATAAAAGTCATGTTTAATATATGAATGAGGTAGTCATGACCATTGGAGAGAGTAGATTATTCCAATCTATGAACACCATTTTTGAGCATTTGAAAATCTTAAGTGATTTCAATTGTCCTTAAAAGTGCAAATTTGAGCTTCAAAAGAAATATTTAACTTCTCAGTTACCTTTTACTATTAGTGACATTAATTTTATATTTTCATATATTAACCAATACCAGTAAGTCTGCAATTCATGATAATGTTTATTTTGTTAACTGTATCTTGGGGTAAAGTTGAGCTATATTAAAATAATAACTTAATAGTGAATATTATGAAATAGGGTGTAGTCAGAATTAATCAGTTTAAAAGGATAATGACATTATGATGTATGAATTATTCAGATGTTTACAGAGATGTCATATCTCTATAATATATAGATGATAATTGATGTGGGATTTCAGATGATATGGCATTTTAATATTTATCCTGCCAAACTGTGTATTTATAGGATGGCATGATTTTATCTTTAAAAAGTATGGGTTCTTTTTGTACTGTACAAAATCTATATTTTTGTTACGATGTACTTCTTGTAGACAGAAAAAGCATTTAAAAGTGGAATATTTTACTTCTGCTCCAACTATTTCTTAAGCTTGTCTGTCAATGAATATAGAAAGTTGCCAGAATTGACTTTAACAATTCCCCCCCCCCCCTCCCCCCCCAAAAAAAATACAAATGAATAATATAAGTAAATAAATAAAAAATTAAAAAATAATAAGTAAAAATTCATAAGTAAATCAAATAAATGAAGGTTATTTGAAATTATAGGCAACAGTCCAGAAGACTTTGAAAAAGATCGAGGATGTTCAATCAATGTGTAGTAAGAGGAAAGCTGACCTTCAGACACAGGCTCGAGCCCAACCTGTACATCATCCAGCACAGCCTGATCTAGTCACTTCCTCCTCTAGAGGTCAAACAACGGTACCAGAGTATGACCTGAGGAAGAAAGGAGGTCACAGAGATCGACACAGGAAAGATAGTAAAGATACTACTAAAAAAGGGGCACCTGCAGTTCCTTCTGTGGAAAAATCTGCAAGGGTAAATTACGCATTTCTTTGTGAAATTGAAAATTTTTGAAAATTTTTCATTTGAGATTTTTATTTTTATTGATAATAAGTTGTTCATATCAATTTTGAAACGTTTCATAGCACAGTCACTTTGATATGAAGTAGAGAAACAATTTCTTTATTAAAATGTTATTTTTTGAAGGCTCTATATTGGCTGTTGTACCTAATTAAACAAAAGGAGATTTAATTTGAAAGGATGACTAACTTTAACACAAGGGATCATAACTGCATGCAATAGAAATTATCCAGAACTTGTCAAAGTAGGTTTCCCCAGCTAATCTGTAGGTACAAACTAACTTTTACCGTTATAGCTTCACGATGCACTTCCCGTCACAATAAATTAGTCAATCTGTTTTGCTTATTTTCTAAGCTGTTACCATAAAAGTTTGTTTGTACCTACATAAATAGCTGGGAAAACCCCAAATAATCTTAATTCTGGAGTAAGTCTATATCCCAAACCCATAACTGTTACATGTATTTTGACGGAATTATGATTCTTGCATGATTTTTTTTCCTGATAAAGCACCGAAAACAGTATCCAGTCCTTCTGACAGCTCTTGTTTTTGAAATGTTTTTAAAATTGTAAGTTTTTGTTACAGATACGTGTTGATGTAGGACCACCCCAGCCACACTCTCGCGTAGACATTGGACCTCCCCAACCACAGCCTCTTCCTCGCACCACACATTATGGATCAACAAGTACGTGCAGTAGTATGTCCACGGTTGACAGCACTGACGGGGCACGTAACTCTCTCGCATCAACCTCGACAACAACCTCTGGGTCGAGTTCTTTCTCCGAACAAATGCTGGAGAGTTTACAAGAAAAAAGACAGTATGTTTTATATGTAATCTTTATATGTAAATGTTAAATAATTAATAATTAAGTATTTTAGTGTTAACTATCACATCATATTATGAAGCTTGTTAACAGTATATTGACCCTTTGTGTTTCTTATTTATATTTTAAGTGTGTAATATAAAGAAATTGTTATGCATTGAATTTATGGTATTTCTATAAAAAGTGATCATTTTCATTCTACTAATAGATGACTGCAATTAGGTGTAACTCTATTCTTGAGAAGCACTTCTAGTTTAGACATATTTATTTAAGCTTGATTGCGAAACAAGCTCTTGCACCTTACATTAATCACTTAACCAGTACTGGTGTCATATGAAGAAACATGGTTTAAACTAGGGTGGTCTTGAAACCATGATCCCTGGGTTGAGAGGCAGACACCTTAACCACTAAGCAGCCAGTCCCCTCAATTGTAAAATATGGAACTGGTTCTTTTCATCTAACATTTACCAAAAACATCTGCTTATACCTCATAAGAATGATTCAAATTCTTGTTTGTTTTGTTTTTTTTTTTCTTGTTTTTTTTTTCATAACTTATTTTATTCTTTTTTATAGACATGTACTAAATGAGTTGATAGAGACAGAGAAAACCTATGTACAGCAGCTTCATGATATATTGAGGGTAAGTAACAAGCAGGGATCAGATAATCTCTTTACCTAAACTTTGTCATAATATTGAGACCTTTATGTAGGAAAAGAATGCTATATACTTGTAGCTGCGAGTCAAATGAAAATGTAAATTTAGTTATAAATGCTTTGTAATTGATCACTCAGGTCTATTATATTCCTGCGCATTTGAACTCAAACCGTGCATTATTCTACAACAATGCACTCAAAATTGAAATCTATTTCCTAAATAAATGAGCAGTCAACTGCATAAAGCGTGCCTGCACTGTGCAGACTGGTTGGTAACAAATATAACTTACTTGTTGCTACCTTACACCATTATTAGGATTTATAAACCTTTTTTTAGCTCGACCATAAGAAGTATATGGAAAGCTGTGACTATTTCCAGAATTATTCCCCTTGATTTTGTAATTTATGTTAACAATGTTATTTTTTTACTATTACTTAATACATTATTATCCATAATTGATTTTTCTTTCATAGTTTTGTCTTCCTTACTGCGTCAAGTATTTTTTATTAGTTGAGCTTCGCAGTCTCCTGTGACAGCTCTTGTTTTGAAAGTGGACATTGTTATGTATGCAATTTTGTGAAATCAGATAGATTTGGAAGTATATATTTATCAAACGTGTTTTGAATTTATTTCAGGGCTACTATTGTGAGATGGATAACAGAACTATGCAACATTTAATCCCTGATGAGCTAATCTCTAAAAAAGATATCCTGTTTGCAAATCTTGATCAAATTTACAAATTTCACCATGAGTAAGTAATTGCTGCAAGTTGGTATTTACTGATCACTATTAATATTAACTTTTATATATCAGTAATGTGTCATTTTGATATGGGATGATTGTTAATTAACCTTTAGCTACTTAGATTTGCCAGCACATTCTGTGCTGTCTTGCTGTCGGATCATGGTCTGCACTGATTGCTGTGTGGTCAGTACTCGAAGTTTTCCCTAAAATGACTCGCGCCATGACAAAACCAACATAATACGTTAACGACCAGCATGGATTCAGACCAGCCTGGGCATCCGCACAGTCTGATCAGGATCCATGATGTCCGCTATCAGTTTCTCTACTTGTAATAGGGTTTGTGCTAGTTGCAAATGCATTATGTTGGTTATGTCATGGCATGGCAAAACTGGTTTTGTCTAGACTATACAGCTGGTGAAGGGTTAAGTTTGTTTATTTGTCAATGGGTGACTAAGATTCTACAGAGCCTTTATATAGACTTAATTTTTGTTTTTTACCAAAAATCTTTTTGTAATATAAGAGCACATATATTTTTTCACAATAAAGTACATACAATTTGTATGGTTTTGGCAAATTTCTTAACAGAGACTGAGAGACAATTAAAAAAGTAAAAATTAAGTTTATTGAACTTGCACTAAGAAAATTTAAATTTTCAAACAATTGGGCTTGTAAGTAAAACAGAATTATTGTAGAAAAAGAATACAAAGTCAGGATGGTTTAGAAATGCATTTAGGCAAAATAATGTTGAAGCGATTTAAAGGCAAAATAAATTCGAATCACACTTGAAATCTTTTTGAAGAATGTTAATGAAAGAACCTTAAGTTTTAATTGGAATTTGGAGGTTTATCCTGTAAATCAACTTGTTATTCTTGAATAAAGAAATTATCTAAATTTGAAATTGAAAATAACTTTCCAGTAATTTAAGTATTAAGTTTAATGCAGTCAAGGTCTTAAATATCATAAAATAGAACTTCTTTTCACTTTGATACAAGGTTATAAAGATATGATAGAGTAAATTATTATGTTTTATATTTTAGTGTGTTCCTGAAAGACTTACAAAGTTGTGCAGACTGCCCCACAAAATTAGGAAAATGTTTTGTTAATAGGGTAAGTACAATATTGAATACATTATGGCCGAAATTTTCTATATAATGTCTATAATTTTACAAATGACTTGAAATTTCCCATTTGTAAAAGTGTACACCTGTTAACAAAGGACAAATCCTCCATACTTCATGGTCATATTTCTAATAGAGCTTATTATTTATTTATGTACCAGGAAGAAGGCTGTTCAGCCATAATGGTATATTATAGGGAATTTTAGTTGCAGATGACTTAATTAATATTTGGTTAATTTATATTTGTATATTTGACAGTTAATACTAAAATTTTATTGCAGGTCATGTTTTGCATGTTTAGCCTAATGTAAATTTCATGCCATTTTATTATTAACAAATGTACTTTTTTAATGTTTTGATAACACATCAAATTGAAGAAGATATATAAACCTATTAAAAGTTGGGTCAAAATGAGTGAAAAATTTAGAATTTAACAATTTACAGACCTGTACATTTTTAAAAACAATGTAGGTACATAATATTTCATATGTATATTTTATCCCTTTCACAGAAAGATGAGTTTCAAATGTACAGTATATATTGTCAAAACAAGCCTCGTTCTGAGGAGTTACGGACTCAGATAGGTGACAATAATCCTTTCTTTAAAGAGTGTCAAAGAAAATTGGGTCACAAACTGCCGCTTGGGGCATTCTTACTTAAACCAGTACAGAGAATTACAAAATATCAGCTTCTATTAAAGGTATGTAGAAATAAGGATTATTTATAACCCTAATTTATGTAATGGATTGATCCTGTCTTGAATATGGACAAATCCATTGTGACTTTACAGGGTTACAATATTAAAAATAATGAATATGAACAGGTAACAGAATAGAACCTGGTCAGACAGCATGGATCTTTATCTTGTTTAAAGAGCTTTCTTATCACAATGGGGAATAAAATTGGTTGCAGACAAATTTATGTGGCTGTTACTAAACCTGAAACCATAAAGAATATTATTTTTCTTTGACTCAGTTTATTTAGAATTTGTTATACATTGGAGTTCAAGTTTATTCAGAATTTTTTATGGTTCAGTCGTGTCAGAAGATATCATAAGCTTATTGAAACACTTGCAAGTTTGTTTCAGGAGCTTGAACTAGTACTAAGCAATGAGTGTAAAGTTATTTATTCAAGAAAACAACAGCTTGCACCTGATGAGGTTTGAACCCACATGGCTCAGCAATTATTAGACTACTAGTCTTAAGCGATAAACACTCAGCCATGTCTGACTTAGTTATTCTTGAATAAAGAAATTATCTAAATTTAAAATTGAAAATAACTTTCCTTATTCTTGTTTTTTAGGTTTTCAATATTTATGATATTTTTAGTCGTTATTTGAAATTTCGTTTGTATATTTGACAATCAGGAGATGTTAAAGTACACTAAAGATGACAGAGTTTGTCAACAACAGCTTGAAGAATCTCTAAACACAATGTTAGAAGTTGTTAGAATTGTTAACAACAGCATGTATGAAGTCTGTATCGTAGGATTTCCTGTAAGTATAAAACTTATGGTCCTTTTTTTGTAGCACCCATACATGGTTATAGATTTTGTTTGTTATATAAAAATAGTTCTATCTTAGTTTTTTATGTGGAGTGTAATTGATTGTGAGAGTGTAAAATGTTCTTTTTTTTACAAGATATATCTGTACATTCCTTAGCACCTATTTCTGTCAGAAAATAATTCATTTATATTAGATAATGTATATAAAACAAATAAATATATTCCAAATGTTGAACATTGGAAGCATCAAGAAAAACATGTTAAAAGTCTTAAATAAACACAAATGGTTTTTTAGCGTAAACACTTTTGGTTTGTGTAAATCTAATGTTGGCATGAGCTTAACTAATAAAATTTCTGACTTCATACATTTAAATGAAATTTGTTGATTTTATGTCAGACAGATAACTGATTGCTCAAATATACATATTCAATATTGATTTGAAATTTCATCTGTTGGGTGAACGGATGGGGAGGCTTCCTTCAAAAAGTCTTAAGTCTGAGTATTTACAAGATTTGGTTAGTATACATGTATTAATTGTAAATAAGTCTTACCTAAAAGTTTTACTTCAATAATTTTCCATTGTTATACTCTACAGGGAAATCTGGCAGATTTAGGTAGGTTACTGATGCAGGGTAGCTTTAACTGTAGCACGGAGCACAAACACGAGAAAATACGAGATATCCGCTTTAAACCAATGCACAGGCATTTATTCCTGTACGAGAAAGCTATATTAATGTGTAAAAGAAAAGAAGATGCTCAAAATGGCGACAGAGACGCATATGCATTTAAGAATATGCTTCGGGTAAGTTTACATCGACACATTTCTCAGTGTTCAAAAGTGACCCAAGTGGCTAGGGACCAAAATGGCTTGGGACCCATTTGGCTAACAAAATCAGTGGCTATCAATCCCTGTGTCTAGCAACCCCATTGGCTACCAACCCCATTGGCTAACAACCGGAGTGGCTAACAATCCCATGGGCTAACAACCCCAGCAGCTAGCAACACCAGTGGCTAGGGAAGTTGATGGCTACTGCAGAATTTATTGCTTGGTACTTAATGACAAACAATGATAGAATAAAAATGATAAAAGAAACTGTCAGAAGTGCATTACTGCTTGCTTCTATCAAATGTCATCAGCTACGGTATCATTTACAAAGAGCACTAATTTCCATTTATAGGTTCAGAGATATAATGATTTTTTTTCCTCTCACATATAATATATGCAACAAAACATAGGCAATGTTTTCTATCTATAAGATTAACTGCTTCTGCTATCCTCATTACAAGAATATGGCTGCAACAAAATGCTACATTAATGGTTAATGGGTTTTATTTATGAATTTTATGTAATGAAAATTGTAGATCTATCTTAAGTTATATATTAATGTTTGATGGTTTAAATTCAAATTCTCAGCAGATATTGTTATAATTTTATGTTACAGTGTAATCAAGTTGGTTTGACGGAGAATATAAAGGGAGATAAAAAGAAATTTGAGCTGTGGTTGAGAGGGCGTGAAGAGGTTTATATTGTACAGGTAAGGTGATTTGAGTATTTTCAACATTCTCTTTTTCCTGGTAATTTTGTATTATTACAAATAGGAGGTGTAACAATTAATTGAATATTCACAATTCAGACTCTTTGAGCTGTCATTGATTCATGTGCAAAGCATATCAGTGATGTGTCAATTATGATGACAAATATCGACGATACACCAATATACCGATAATTACCTATAAATGTTTGTTTTTTTATAGCTTTTTAAATGATTTTAGTAAATTTATGTTCTGTTCATACAATTGTGATGTGTCTTGTTTATAAAAGTCAACTGTATAAATTTTTTCTTTCTGGTAATTTTTTGTCATCACTGGAAAACAATATGTCCATTATGTATCAATAGCATAGTTTTAAACTTGGGCACCTGCTTCTGTATCTATATCGATGACAGCTTACAGACTCTTCAGATTAAATTGACAAAACAAGAGAAAGTTTTGTACTTGGCTTTTTTTTTTTGTTAAAGATTTTATTTAGTGAAATTTCCTGTCATTATTTTAGGCACCTAGTCTAGATGTGAAGGAATTCTGGGTAAAGGAAATCAAGAAAGTGTTGATGAATCAGTTTGATGAAATACGTGGTATGTTATATTTTATATGTTGCTTATGTTACACAAATTAAAGTGTGTAAAGCAATCTATATGTCGTTCAAATGTTGCACAAATTAAAGACTGTGTAAAGCAGTCTATATGTTGTTCATATGTTTCACAAATTAATGTGTGTAAAGCTATATCTTTTGCCAGTACATAATGTTTACAAAGTTATCGTTTGAATTTTGAAAAAAAAAGAATATTTCTAACATTTGTATTTAAGAAATATGTTTATTTCTTTTAAAGTGAATTGCACATGCACAAAACTGTTTAAATATCATTCTTCTTTACATAGCAGAAAAGAAATACATTTTGTTTTGCAGTAAATAAATTGAATCTCGTTCAACGTTCGTCAGAGGATCTGCCTCGTTCCGGTAGTGATAGTGGCATGGAGAGCTGGCGGCACCGGCAGGGTTCCGGTAATAACAACTCATCAACAGTTCCGGTTGGACTTACAATGATGTCTCCCGAGACACCACCCGATCCGAGACTTCAGACAGATCAATGGTCCGATGATGATTATACTGATTCCGAACCTGAAACAGAGCGCCGACCAAATCAGCACACATCTCCGTTAGAGGTATGTACTCTTTACTTTCGCATTTTCTCTTTGTGTTTGTGAACTGTTGGATGAAAGATTCATATATAAAAAAATCGACAGAATTCATGTCTTATACTTCCTTACTTCTTAGTGTTTTTTTTATCTTACTTAAACAAGACAACCAGTTTGTATAGGTTCAAAGCTGTAAGGAATAGTCTAAAATATTGACTTTATTACGATCTTTTGAACTTCATGATAAGAATATAACAATTGTCATCATTCTAGAAAATAATTTATTTAAGTTTTATTGAAGATTTTTTTACTTTCTTTGAAAGGTTATAATTTATATACATTGTACTGTATAAGTGGTTTAGTTAACAATGCAGAAATATTGGGGTATTTTGTGAATTTGAAGAAAATCACTAAAATTTTCTCTAGCGTAGATATCAACCAATCTGGTTTTAAATTGCACAATTCGCTAATATTTCCTCATGCAAAATGTCTGAAATTTGAATTAGCTTAATTTTTGGCACATGGAAATATTTACTTATACAGTAATGCCGTTGACTTTCTGTGGTGTAACAATGTCTTGGTGTCTTACAGATCATATAAAACATACTGTATGTTCTTCATGAATAAGACTTATATGTTGTTTGGCATTTTATCAGTATAACCTGCTTTAATATTAAATTTTGTTAGTGTGAGCATTGCAATGCTAAAATTGTTCAAACTTGCACCAATGTTGGCATTATTTCATTTGCCTTAGTACATCTTTGGATATAATATTATTTTGTTGTATTATACCTTTTCCTAATCAGAATTCTACTGTCACCTTCTGCTTAGTGCAAACGGTAAATTTTGATGACAAGTTTAATATAAATTGCCATTTTCATTTGCTTAAAATCTTGTGCTTTCATTGTAATGAGCAAGAAATTTATTTTTTTATTTTTGACTTTTCTGTTTTAAGCTCATGTGAGTACATAGTGCTCAGAAAGTGAGCTTTTATGATATAGTCAGTCATGCATCATTATTCGCTTTTTTTTTAAACAATATGTTCCCCTAAACTGCTTGATAGATTTTGAGCAATCTTCATACGAATAGTTCTGTGCTAAACTTACGTAAATGGCTCAATGCCCCCTTTAGCGACAAACCTCAGGTGAGCAATTTAGAGCTATCATGTAGCTTTTGTTTAACATGTAATCAAAATTATGCTCCTCTGAGTGGTTCACTACTATAATAAGGTGGTATTTTAATTATTCAAATGTAAGACTGGCTGCATATAAGACAGGGGTTTAAGTTTTTCATCATTCTAAATCAGCAATTTTTTTTGTCTCCTATCTATATAAGACAGCTTTATTTTTTTCCTTACAAATAGTGCACAATATATTTCTTGAAATAAAATGGGTCTTACTGGGTCTTATAGATAGGTAGATACTGAATGTTGCTTTGAAATGTCAACAGTGGTCACACATAATTTCTGTTTAGCTGTTTAGCCCCCTTAGCTTATCTTTGTTCTTACAACATTTTGAAAGAAAGCCGCTTGCACTTTGTTTTCAGAACTGGAGTGTTTTGTTCTGCATGGAATAAAGCAGTGCTTAATTTTGCCGTGCACTTAATCACAGATTTTTCTCACTCTGGCATGCCTATAGCTTTGACCGTTCTTTTTGTTCTTTTTCTTACCCACAGCCCTCCTATTTGCAGCAGTTCGTTGCTATTGCCGACTACGTCCCTATTGATGATGTGGAAATGGGCTTAAGAGAAGGAGACATTGTGGAAATTCTCCGCACAGGAACCACTGGCTGGTGGCTGGCTCATCATATGACCACAAATGATGAAGGCTGGGTACCGTCAACCTACCTGGATCCCGTACCAAATACAGGCTCACGGTCTCTGGCTTCAATGTCAAGTATAGGTATAAAAATTAATAGTTTTTCATTCTTAGTATAGGTATAAAATTAATAGTTTTTAATTCTTTACCAATTATTTTCTCAAGTAACCTCCACCTTTTTAACAACAAATTTAAGATACAAAAGAATATTTGATTGTTTTATTAAAAAGAAATCAACGGAGGTAATGTTATAAAATACATAATAAGTGTAATTCTTAGTTACTTCAGTTACTCATAAATAAGAATTTATATATACTTGAGAAACTGTCATACAGAATTCATATTCATACTTTAGGATAAGTATAATTACGATAAGTATAATTAGGATAAGTATAATTACGATAAGTATAATTATGTTATCTTGGCCATTTTAACCAATTATCATTATAATGATTAATGCACATTTTCTTGTGCAACAAGACCTGCCAAGTCTTCAGATTTTGAAGTCAAACAGTATTACTACTTAATAGGTTTATATAAATTTCAAGTTAATCAATTTATTCTCCCCTTCTTATTTTAAGTTATGTAAATTGTACATCATATAACCTGTTACCATTGGAGAGGCGACTTCTATGTAACACTTAATATTTAAATCTAATTATAATTCATGAATATATAATTTATAATCTGTATATATTTATGCCCCCATTTCGAAGAAAAGGGGGTATATTGCTTTGCACTTGTCGGTCCGTCGGTCCGTCGGTCCGTAGACCAAATGGTTTCCGAGTGATAACTAAGGAACCCTTAGGCCTAGGAACTTCAAACTTGGTATGGTGATTGGTCATGACCAGTAGATGAACCCTATTGATTTTGGGGTCAAGGGGTCAAAGGTCAAGGTCACATTGACCTTGTAAGCAAAAACGGTTTCCGATCAATAACTAAAGAACCTTAAGGCCTAGGAACTTCAAACTTGGTATGGTGATTGGTCATGATCAGTAGATGACCCCTATTGATTTTGGGGTCAAGGGTCAAAGGTCAAGGTCACATTGACCTTGTAAGGAAAAACGGTTTCCGATCAATAACTAAAGAACTTTAAGGCCTAGGAACTTCAAACTTGGTATGGTGATTGGTCATGATCAGTAGATGACCCCTATTAATTTTGGGGTCAAGGTGTCAAAGGTCAAGGTCACATTGACCTTGTAAGCAAAAACGGTTTCCAATCAATAACTAAAGAACTTTAAGGCCTAGGAACTTCAAACTTGGTATGGTGATTGGTCATGATCAGTAGATAACCCCTATTGATTTTGGAGTCAAGGGGTCAAAGGTCAAGGTCACATTGACCTCTTGGGTAAAAACGGTTTCTGATCAATAACAAAAGAACCCTTAGGCCTAGGAACTTCAAACTTGGTATGGTGATTGGTTATGACCAGCAGCTTCAAACTTGGAATGGTGATTGGTCATGACCAGCAGATGACCTATTGATTTTTGAGTCAAGGGGTCAAAGGTCAAGGTCACATGGACCTTGTAGGTAAAAACGGTTTCCGATCAATTAACTAAAAAGGCTTAGGCCTAGGGACTTCAAACTTTGTATGATGATTGGTCGTGACCAGCAGATGACCCCTATTGAGTTTTGGGTCAAGGGGTCAAAGGTCTAGGTCACATTGACCTTGTAAGTAAAAACGGTTTATGATCAATAATTTAAGAACGCTTAGGCCTAGGAACTTCAATCTTGGTATGGTGATTTGTCATGACCAGCAGATTACCCCTATTGATTTTGGGATCAAGGGGTCAAAGGTCAAGGTCACATTGACATTGTAAGTAAAAACGGTTTCTGATCAATAACTAAAGAACGCTTCGGCCTAGGAACTTCAATCTTGGCATGGTGATTGGTCATGAGCAGCAGATGACCCCTATTGATTTTGGGGTCAAAGGTCAAGGTCACATTGACCTTGTATGTTAAAACGGTTTCCGGTCAATAACTAAAGAACCCTTAGGCCTAGGAACTTCAAACTTGGTATGGTGATTGGTCATGACCAGCAGATGACCTATTGATTTTGGGGTCAAGGGGTCAAAGGTCAAGGTCACATTGACCTTGTAGGTAAAAACGGTTTCTGATCAATTAACTAAAAACGCTTAGGCCTAGGAACTTCAAACTTTGTATGATGATTGGTCGTGACCAGCAGATGACCCCTATTGAGTTTTGGGTCAAGGGGTCAAGGTTAAGGTCATGACCAGTAGATACTTGATAACCCTTATTAATTGTTTGATCACTGGGTCAGAAGTCATGCATAATAACCTTATCACATGACTAATTGGCTGCTGATAGGGGGCATACATGTTTTACAAACATATCTTGTTTATATAGGTTCTGGAAGTGTGCCAAGTCAGACTAGTCACTCAAGCATGACCAGTGGCTACAGTGCAACCAGTCCTGTAGATGAAAGTGCTATTTAACTACCACAGCCGTTATAGTGAAACCAAAACAGTGCAATCCCGATAGAGTAACCTCTACTCTTCATAGAATAGACTAGACATTTATTTGTTTACATTCAGATAAAATTCAGCAGTATAATATAAGCTATTCTGCTATAGCTTTTTGGAAGTACATGCTATTTAGTGAAAGTGATCAAAGTCTGTCCTCTGTTCAAAGAGGTTTGACTGTAAAATACTTAAGGTTCAAACATGTTACCATTGATATACTGTTTGTTTTTTGTGTTTTAAACAAAATGGTCTAACTGTTAATTGACACAAGTAATCAACAAAATATTCAACGTGATGCAAATATAGTACTTGAACAATTTATGATTCAATACCATTAGGTGGTTCTACTCAGGTGCCCGTTTGTGCCTGAAATAATGAACAGAAGAGCACCTGAGGTCTTCCTTCACCAGTAAAGCTGGAACACCACCATATAACCTATAATGTGTCGGTGTGATGTAAAACCCAATCAAACAAACAAATCAATACCATGATTCAACTGTAGAATTTGAAACCTGACCTGAAACCAACTTATAAATGGATTCAGTGCTACACAGCACCATTGCTGAGAAATGTCCTTCTATAATAATAAATGATTATTGAAATTGTTTGGACTGCTTTTGTCATTTACAGTCCATTTTTCAAAAATTGTTGCAACCAGTCTGACAGCTTTTGTTTTGCGATTGCCATCTTTGGTTTCAAATTCAACACTGTATTAAGATTAGAATTTAACAATCAAAAGAAAGTGTGTAATGAAATGAGGTTGTAGAAAATATATTTATACTTGTTAAAGATACGCTAGTTATTTATAGGAGTTTACCATTTTCCTTCAGTCTGTGAGTTGCTAAATGAATTGAACATTATAGTAGAAGCTAGTTAGCTAAAATAATAAAATCCAAATTGTACTAATATTGTAAATTTATAAATTATTTTGTATATAAATATATTTATATTAACATAAAAATGAGTAACAACCACTTCATCCCAATCACCTAAAGTAAAACATTCAAATGAAAGTCAGTCTAAAAACCCAATCATCTGATTCGTTGATTTTAAACGAATATTTGAATTTAGCCAATGAAAACATTCCATTCCCAGACTGGTCCTTAAATTTTTATTGATCACTTTGGAATCACTCTGTGAAGAGTAAGCTAGTCATTTTTATTAGATATTTATCATATTCTATATATATATATATATAAATATATAATTATAACAACATGTTGTGTAAATGTGTAAGTTGTTGAAACGCTGCTCAGTATATGAAATATAGATTTAGTTTTATATAAGGCAGTTAGTTGAAAATTACGACGATTTTTTCTTCTTGTTAAAGCTTTTCTCATATCTGTGTTCTTATATATGTACTTTTTGATGTATAGCATTTACGATTGTGAAATATTGGGCTTATGATTGTGATGTATGGGGTTTTACTTCCTGTTGGTACATATATATTGCCTTTGTTTATATACAGCTGAAATACTTTTTGTTATAATTGATGTATTGTATATTTTAATGCAACTTAAAATAAGGACACAATTTTATTGATGCAAATGAATGAGAAAGTAGACTTGTCAATGAGATATATAAACTATATAGGTCATTCTGAAAAGATGTTTTCTTCAGTGATGATTTAAATGCTAGTGATCGCCTCCGTGGTCGAGGTGTTAGAGTCGATGACTTCTAATCCAGTTACCTCTCTGGCGTGGGTTTGATCCCCGGTAGATGCTTTGGTAGTTAAGCACGAGGAAGGTAGTCTAGCACTGGTGTAACTCTCCAGGGATGATGGTTAGGAAACTACCCGCCTATATGACTGAAATACTGTTTGGAAAAGATGTAAAATGAAACAAACAAAATAAAGTTAACGCTATTGGAAAAAGATGCAGGTATATTATCATCAGTATTTTGCTAGTCTAGCCAAAACATCTTAAACAGTAATGTTTTGTTCTTAGGTGATAAAAAGTGAAACATCAAACTCCTCACAGTGATTACCTCCCTTGGCAGATTGTAATCACTGCCTTCACAGACGTCACATGATGATGAAAGTCACATGACGTAACATCAAAATTCAAATGTAAATATTGACTGTTACATAGAAAATCTAACATCATTTTTCTCTTTCTGTTTTATTTTTAACACTTTTTGTACCTGCGTTTGTTATAATTTATCAAAAAATTATCAAAAGAATGAAAAAAAAAATAATGAAAAATAAATTCAAAAGCTAAAAAATATTTTTAACAAAATATTGTTAAAAATGTATGTGGTGTACTGATAAGGGGAGGTCACTGGGTAGGAGATTGGAGAAACTTAGTTAAAATTGAAAGTAGTATACAGTTAAGATGTATCTAAATAATTGAAACTGTTATCTTGTCTCGAATGTTAAATTTGGAATATTCTATGTGCTATAATGAATAATTGTGATACCAATATTTATATACCTATATTTGCATGACTTCTGTTGTCCTATTCTAGCTTTTGTAATTTGTTTAATTTTCTTATGCATAGTTTTTAGTTACAAATATATTTTATGCTTCTACCTAATCTACTATTAGTTCAGAATCATCTAAAACTGTAGATTATACTAAAATACAGTTCAGAGGATATTTTTTAACTTATTTTAAAATGAAAATTAAAGATTGTTTGTTAAAAAAAATCTATGAAAGAAAAGAAAACCTATTTTTCATTCCTTTTTATCAGAACATTCCAATGTTAAATTTTAAAGCATTCCAAATTTGATTTCTTTACTTAGATATTTTTTATAAGTTTCTGTTACACATGTAGTAAACAAACTCACATGTAGCATTCAAGCTTTTGTTTTGGTAAACAAATTACAAGAACTAATTTTATTTATTTTATACCCACATATCAGTTTGATATGCAAGTCTTTTTCTAAAAATGCCTGTCTTAGAACTGTCTCGGCTTTTAATTGTATATCGTTTCACTATGATGAACGTAAGGTTGAAAAACTTAATATTATGTACTCATAGAAAAGAATAATTTTACTTGTAGCAATAATCTGTTAAATAGTGTGATTTACAGAACTATTTTATTATATAACTATAACAGAAAATCACTTTAAAAAATTGTTATTTCTGATTGTAGAAAACTTGTTGTAGGCTGTTACTTTGTTAATGTTACAAATAAATAATGTTAATGTGTTACTTGTAATGGATGTTACACTTAATTGATGTTAATCTGTTACTTGTAACAGATGTTACAGTTAAATAATGTAAATGTGTAATGGGAGTTACACTTTGATAATATGAATATATTACTTATAATGGGTGTTACACTTTACTTATGTAAATCTGTTACTTGCAATGGGTGTTACATTTTAATTTTGTAAATCTGTTACTTGTAATGGATGTTACATGTTAATAGTGTAAATCTGTTACTTGAAATTGGTGTTACAACTTAATGATGTAAATCTGTTACTTGTAATGCATGTTACTCTTTAATGATGTAAATCTGTTTCTTGTAATAGATGTTACAGTTTAAAGATGTAAATAAGTTACTTGTAACGGATGTTTCAATATTACGTTACATTGCACTATTGTTGCTGTATATTGTTTTTATGTGATGCAATATCTGTTAGAAATATGTTAAATATGCTTGTTGACTTTTTAAGTCATATTTTTATTCAAATATTTTATCCTGCTATTGTTAAGTAAAGTGAAACAAGAGGAATGTTAAAAAGTATGTGAAAATTAATTAGTTTTTCATTGAATAAACAAACTTATTAAGTGCTATTATAGTTAATGAAACTAATTTGGAATGAGAATGAAAAATAAAAATATTAAGAGCATCAGTGTTCAATACATTCTTAAATTAATTTTTTTTTTAAATTTTGTAAAATGTTCAAAGGCGCAGGCACCATAATTAACAAGATAAGAATCATGTTATACTTATAGGTACATTTTTAATTTAGCATACTTCAATGAGTAACTTTTCATTGGCACAATGGTTAAAAAATGGAAGTAAATTACTTACTAAATTGAATTGCTATAGCATATGTTTGATTTTATGCCGCCCTCCCACTTCAATGCTGGGGGATTTGCCCTTGCTTCTACTAGGTCTGGACACATTTCTTATTAAGAGATTTAAGATATGTAAGGCATTAAGGACATTATCATTAGTATAAAATGGACGTAAGCATTCACAGGGCTGTACTCGTAAAATAGATTAAAATCTAAAACAGTGACTATATGTTTGATTCGGCCCAACATTAAGACAAAGAGTGTGAATGACAATTGAAAGGTTGTGATTATATTACATTTAAACCAGTGACTTAATGAAATTATTCTTATGCAAAATTGTTATTAATATTTCTTTATGTTAAAAACAAATTCTCCCCTTATTATGATATTAATGAATGATTTTTTAAGTATGAATTTCAGCTGCTTTTATAGAAGAATTTTACTCATTGCCTTTTATTGTTGCTAATTGGTTATTATACATTCCATTACAAACTTGAGTAAGCTAAATTGAAATATCTTTTTTTAACAATGAAATAACATTATCTTTGAAATATTTTCATTACATTTAATGTTGATCCCAAGTTAATAAATAATAATTCAGTTTAAAATATGATTTTCGTAGTTTTACATACTTTGAGTTCCCTATTTATCTCAAGATCATATCCTTTAAGACTGAATGATTGAGTTATTGCCCCTGTTTTTTTTTTTATAAAATTGAGTCTGGATCTAACAAATATTCTGTTTTATTTGTCTATTTTCAATTTCAAAACTGGGATTCTAAAGTTTTGATAAACACACTAATGGAAACTGATAAAAACGAATATTTGTTATATCAATTCTCAATTTTATAAAAAAAAAAAACAACACAGGGGCAATAACTCAATCATTCAGTCTAAAATGATCCAATCTTAAGATAAATAGGGAGGAGGAGGATTGTTGAACTCAATATAAGTAATTATTTATCTTTCTAGGTAAAAAAAACAAATATTGATGTATCTATAGGGGTTTTGTTTTTTTCCCCCAAATATCCCTTTATTTATATTTAGCAGCTTCCCTGATTTCTCCACACACAATGTGTATGGTATATGGGCCTTTACTTTTACATATTTATGTTGACTGACTTTGTTTTCAAACATTTTCATTATGAATTGTTGTTGTTGTTATATCTAGTTGTATGGACAAGATAGATGTGTATTTTAACATAATTTTTATTCCAGTTTCAAAAATAAAATCTCACTGTATATTGTTATGCTTTGCAATTATTTATTGAAATCTTGAAAAAATGGACATTAAAAACAGAGTTAATATATAAAGTGTTGTGTTGCTATTTCCATTATTTGTAATTTAAAGAATAAGGGAGAGAACCCATAATTAAACTAGAGTTGTCTCCCTTGATTTGGCGAGTGTACGACAAACAAAAAATGAAGAAATCTGAAACAAGAATGCGTTGAGTAAAAAATGAAATCAAAGGTCACGCAAACCTGCAAAAGAAGGGAAATACCCACCATGAACACTGTTTTTCATTTCGAACAGAAATAATTATTGAATTTATTGTTAAAAACGGCAGCTACACAATACCTATTTCTTTATTATTATACAACACCCCAGACTTTTACTGTATTTCGATACCTAACGGTACACAACTACTATATACAAATGATGACACAGGCTTATGCTTAAGCACTTGCTCGAACCTCAAACCATGTAAAAACTATTGATAATACCTGTTTCAATGGATTATCAAACACAAATGAAATATAACAACAGATAATTTACCACCACCCCCACCCCGATTTGTTTTTCGCTTAATGTTTCACTTTCTCATATTCTTTCCATGCTTTGTCAAAATAAATCCTATGAAACAGTTATCATCATGTCTATATGCTAGTACATTGTACATGTACATAAAAACTCCATGAAACATCCTTAACATGTTGTCTGGCACTAACGTTATCGGATAACTCCGTGATAGGTGAGGAACCAAGTTATCAGATAGGAGACGGAACTAAGATATTCAAAACCCAGTGTAAGTTTAGGTAACCCAGACCAGTTAGCCGTTATTATCGAACCAAGCTACCTCATGACATTTCTTCAATCACAACATCAATAATCTAAAACCGTATAATAAGGAATCCTCTTAGTCTCCTCCGCATAAAAGTGACAACTTCCACACATATATATAACGGATATATCAACGGAGAACAGTTTTACTCAATAGTTTAGACCTTGTTAAAGTATTGAAATGAAAGTAAGGATTGAAGAATAAGGTTAAACGCCATTCATACTCAGTCTTTCGAATCATGATAAGACAATAGACTATTCTACTAACTACCGGGGCAGAAATCAATCCGTCACTATTTTTATTAAACTCTTTTCTTTGATAGCTATTCAGTCCAGCTTTTAGAAAGATCAAACTTTGTAAATATTTCGACTTTGTAAACAAACAATTGAGATAAAGTTGGTATATGCTGGTTCCGAAATTGTTAAAATTAACGGACTTTTTATGTGGATATATAGAAACGTTGATTGAAAGAGAAAAAAATAAGAGAATAATTCTATTGTATTGTTTCTGTTACTAACACAAAAGGTATGTATTCTTTTCACGTGTACTTTATCTTAACTCTGAAGTTCCTTATAGAAAAAAGAAGAGAAAAAAATGTTAAAGGAAACCTGTTTTAAACATTTTTCGAGTGGATAAATATAAATAATTTGATTAAAATATGGCAAAAAAAAACGTTAAAATATGTATAGAATACTTTTCAAACGCTAGCTAATACGATTCAGGTTGAAATAAATTTAAAGAACATGTATCCAAAATGCAATTATATTTCTAAATACAGTAAAACCTGTTATAATAATCCGTCTGAAAAATACCAAAATAACCGGGCACAAAATGTCACATTTAATGGTCATCCTTGATTAATTAAAACTTTATATTAAGTTTGAAGCTTAAAATAAAGTTTGACTTAAAAAACATTAGGACAGTGTCTTGAACTAGTCATTTTCGACACAAGGACACACGAACTGGTTAAAAACAAAAAGTTTCAACTTGGTAATTGGGGGAAAACATTGGCATATACTTGAATGTCTTCCTAAATAGACTGGCTCAAAGCTGATAAAAAAGAGGCCGGATTGCCACTTTGTATCCAGTTAATTTCGACTAGTTCTTCCCAGTAAGATGTTGGTAATTGTCACTAGTCTTGTCTTGTATTTTTTAACACCCTGACACTAAATACATTTGTTTATAAGGAAGGTCTTAAACGTTTGTAATGTTTACATGTTCTGTTGGGTTACAAATATTACGTAAAACTCTTGATTACTTAATTGATATACACACCGTTTGTAAATAAAAAGAAGTGGTTATTAAATATAGGAAATGCAGTCTCGCCCTCCTTTGCTGTTCTCACTTAGAAAATAAATTTAAAAACAGAATTTTAAATATAAATAAAATGACTAACTTAAGTAGAAGTAAATTGTTATTAGCAACGATGACTTCGGTTGTTTGAATGAGCATATCTGAAAATATCATAAGAATTTGACTGATATTAATGGAACGCATCAGTGATCTGTAATTAGATGTCATAGATTAAAGACCAACATTGACCAACTTTTACTTTATTCTCTGTGTGTTCTCAAAGAATATTGTATGCGATAAATAAAATTCAAATACCCCCTGTGTACTTAATTCTGCTTGTACCTGTTCCTAATATATCAAAATTCAAGAATTAAATATATGTCGACCTAATTATAAAATAAACAACGAAATATTTTCAGGTGCTATTTTGTTCTTATGATATTTGTTTAAAGAAACATCAATAAATACTTAGTCATGTGGTATTTGTTTAAAAGCGGTATTTCAACCTTAAGTTAGTATTTTTTTGCATTACAAGAGTTGAATAGAAAGGGGAAATGTTTAACTATAATGATGCCGCAATTAGTCGTACATGTTATAACATGGTCAGTAGCACAACAATGCTTGCATTATCTACCCATTCTAGGAAGCCATTTGTCATTTCTATAAAACATCCAATCAAAGTTCTTCTGGCAATTTGGGTTTTTGAATTTGGTAGATCGTCTTTTTTTCAATATGGATTTTTTAAAACGGCTTCTTCATTTAAACAAATTTATTCCCAACATCCATCATTTGATTGTACAAAGACAGCTATCTTTCAAGCTTCAAAAATTTCAGCAGTTATATATACATGTATTATATGAATATTTTTGTTTTTGTAATGCGTTTTTGTAGTTAAAGATCTGGCAAAAAAACGAGTCGTCATGGGTCTTTAAGCATATTCATTGAATTTCAAATCGCATCTCACAAATGATTTCACGAAATCATCAGGCATGTGAAAATTTAAATTTCTTTCATAAGATTATCATGAAAATGTTGAATATATTTCGTTGAATAGTATCTTTATTACAAATTTCCTTTCTACCTTAAATATATACCGATTTGCGGACCTTGGAAATCGATGAAAATCATTGACAGAGTATTTGAAAAACGACTTTCCAATATTAGACCGTATCTTAAATACTCAGTATTTTGATATAAGCCTTTTAAAGCCTAAGGTTCACACAGGAGAATAAACAAGTTAACAACAAAATGGTACAAAGTTAAATACCGCCTAAAATTGATTCAAGCAGATGTTTAATAATTCAGACATGAATGACTGGGACTAAAAATAGAACAAGTAAGTCAATACTGCTTTTTTTTAAAAGTAATATAACTTTCTCAGCATAATAAGGTTTATATAAATATGTTGTAATACTTTTACTAGCTAAAATAACAGAGCTTAATTAAGAAATCATTACTTTACGTATTTATTTAGTATAACCTATGGAAGACCAAGTGTGCTAAAATTTACCTTGAATCAACACTAATCACTGAAGAATTGCACGTACATATACTATATCATCTACTTACAAAAGAAGCTACAGAACGACGGCGAGATATAGCTATTACCTTAATTTCCATTTTATTTATAAAAATGTTGTTTTTTTTCTACAAAAAACAATTCGCCATAGAATTTACCAAATCATTTACGTATACAATTTTTCTTCCATATACCAATTAATTCGCCTCATGTTTGCTTAAAGGCATCCTTAAATATACCGAGTCCAACAAACTTAAGACACTTCATTAAGTATATGTTTATCAAAACATTTTACTTTCTACCCGGGCTACCCTCATATTTGATCACGCCCGATTTAATGGCACTGAATATTTATGATATCTTATCGTCGCTTTGCATATATTACTTTGAGTAAACAAGTTATTAAGGCTTAGTAACATAGCTTATTTGGATTTGAATGTTTAAATATGATCTTTTTTTTTTACTCATCATTTTGTTAAACCTGTGGCTTAACATATTAAGAAAGTAAGATATATTAGAGACTTGCTTTGTTCCTTGATTGTGCTTTGTTTCATATCAAAGCCTGCTTTTGTGTAATTTCAAAAAACTAAAAATACAAAGTGAAACTAAAAATAATAAAAATATAAAGTTGGATTACTTTTAGATATTTCATATATATATTTTTGTAGGGGAAATTGCATTTCAAATATATCCATAAAGATGAAAAGTTTGCCGCAGTGTGCTTAATCGTAGTGGAAACGAGAACTATTTATTGATATCTATGTGATATAACTTTATAAGCTAAATGTTATATGTTTTGTTAATTTCAGATATATTTGACAATTTGAATATGTGAACCAATGTAAGAAACGGATATTGACACTTGAACATTATAAATTCTCATCAAGGAAATACTTGGAATTTGACGTTTATGGAACATTGTGTATTTGTTATACACTTCATAACAAAAGTCGGTATACATGCACTTCTAATTCGTTAATAAATTTATAAAAAATGAATATGGAAGAAATTAGATATGATTATAGCAAAAGGAAATAACTAAACTATGGAGATTTCCTAAACAATATACCACAAGAGATATAAGAGTGAAAAAATTGAGTTGATTTCTTTTTATGGTAGTGCATTACAGTCTTTAAAAGCATTAATATGATGTCCAGATATGCAGATGGTAATGACTACAGCTTCGATTCATATTCACCATCCGATTCTCCCAGGGGAAGGAGGTATATTTTGAAAAATTTAAATACGAAGAAATTACATCAATTAGACCATTTAGATACGTCACGGAAAATCCATGACGATTACCATGACATCAGAACGGCAGCGCCCTCTTCTATCAGTTCAGTCAACACAAATCATAGCAATAAGCACATTGGTACTGCAAACAAAGTCATGCCAACTGAATCGCCAAGAAAAACGCCACGAAAACCGTTGGAGTCCCAAAAACAGACACCGAGAGAGCCGTTTGTTTACGTAAAACAACGGAAAGATCTGAATGCGTCGGTGGTTGATGAACGTAACGAGACTCAAAAGAAAACTCCCCGAAAAGGTGACAAAAGTCCTAGAAAGGGAGGGAAGGAAGACTCAAAAAACAACGTTGTTGCTATAAATAAAAAGAATGAGAAAGGTTTGACGCCGAGGGATGAATATATGGTGACTAACTTATATGACAAATCTCGCGAGATTATTTATTTAAAACCATCAGAAGTCCGTTACACACATGATCAGATCACTGCCCATTTCACGGACGGAAGGTCCATGCTACAAACATTTATAGCCCTACTCTATGGTCGTGTTGAAATACGACTAGGTGGAAACGATGTCCCGCCAATAGAAGTAATGCAGACGAGAGAAATGGAAGGCGGGAAAGAGGGTAACCTTTGGTATGTTGTCAATGGCAACAGAAGACTCTACGTGTTCCGCAAATTAGAACGTTGTGGTGCACTCACAACTATGCAAGTTATTGCCAGAAAATATGATGCAATTGAAATGGATAAACAATTTTTGACCAGGAATCATGGACGAACTATATCGGTAACGAATGATGCTACATTGAACGCAAAGTTTGGTAAAGAAACGAAACGTTGGAAAGAATGGAAGGCAAAGCAGCCAAAGAAAAAGCCAACTAAAGGTAAAGGTGGAAACCCTAGCAAAAACGGAGCATCAAATAACCGTGAGTCTTAATGTTACAGTAGAGGTTGGATCCTTTGTCTCTACACTGTCTTCTAGTATCATAACTAGTATATTACACCCGGAAGATTCATGTCTTTCGTAATCTGTATAGTCTATCGGTTCTCTCTGGTTATTTGTCTGTCTTTCCGTTTGTCTTTTTTATCTAGCTTTCTTTGGTTAAGGAGTATATAGAATTTAAGTAATGCATTTTTCATATGAGGCTTTCATTTCCTGTAACGTTATTTATTGTGTGTCTTTTCAAAACATTATATTATATTTGTATTATGGTGGCTGATTTGTACATTTATATTATGATGGCTGATTTTTGCCATGTGGCTAGGCGAAATACGACAAAGTAATGACTTTGTCGTGTTTTCGTCCGGCGTTCTGCAAAGCGCAAACACGAACATACGACAAAGTGGTATATCGTGTTTTTGCCTTGCCCACTGCGGAGTGAAAGTAAGACAAAATGATGACTGTCGTATATTCGTGTTTCTGTTCATGTTCTGTTCGATATTATAAATACGGACCAACGCGCCTGCTCATTTCACAGACACTTTATGAGATGGTCAGATCATGCCCTAATTGCCCTGCCAAAAACGTGTCATCTACCTGAATCATAAGAACCTGTTCTTATTCAATATCCACACGAATATTTACGTACCATATAACGTATGAATAAATTCTTTAATGAACCATGACGGTAAATGCGAATTTGTTTTAAATCCACGAGTAAGTGGTCTCAAAACAGGTCTTTAATAGAGGTAGATGATCTCGAGTTAAATGTGGGGTGGGCGAAAGGGAATATTTGACCACCAAATTTCTGTGATTTGCCGCAAACTGCATATTGTTAAAAAAAACTTTACTTTTTACAATTATCATAAACATTAATTAAGATTATTTAAATGATTCTTTACTTTACTACGTTGTTATATATTTGGAAATATAACGTTGTTTAAATGATCTTTTATTTCTTATTTCTTTCAGAATCTAGCTGCTGTACCATAAGCTAACCAATATGGGTTTACGTATCATATACCAAGGGAGACAACAAATACATATCATTCATAAATTATATACGCTGTGTTATTTCCCTTTAATTACAGACGACAAAAGGGTTGCAACATGCATATATTTATTTGAAGTACTTTCTGCAATTACATGTACGCACGGATTATATTATGTAATATAAATCCGTGATGTACGATACTATATGATAATTGTTCCAAAAATATGACATTGTATTAATTTAAAACCTGGAAAGTTTTGCTTTTCAATAATTAATTGTTTGAAATAAATTATAGAACAAGAGTCAGTGTTTTAAATGTTGAATTTATTATGTGTATAATATAATGCATTATAGCTCTTAAATGTTGGCAGTTAATATAAATCACATGCCTTAAGAAATACCAGCCAGAGCTCCCAATAGGACTCCAACGCATGATCACTGAGTAGGGAGACAATAATCTTTACCATCTCGACACCCCTCTCCATATATATTTGACCTATACATTAAAGTTCACACATGTCACAATTTGTACAATCTGTGTTAAGTTTAGATCTACTTAACTTATTTCTTGCCTAATACATCCCGTTAATTAGGAGCTAATTTTAATCAGATTGCATTGAGTATATATACAGAATGCTAATGGAAATTTACAATACAGGATCTTGATTTTGGTGACATTTGAGTTACATGTTTTTCGTTGTATTGTTGAATACAGCTGTACAACGTTTTAAATAAGCATTTTACATTGAAATCACTCACAATAATACTGGATAAATAACTATGCCATAATTAAGTTATTTAAAATCTGTCCATGAATAACAAAGATGTTTACTGGACATAACTATCAATGCACTATCATATTATCTAAGGGTGACTTGGATCTTTACTTAGGCTGCCTAACTTGACCTTGTTCACTAAATGAGTTGTAGTATTAATTAATAAGCTGCATACTTTCAGATAATTATTTCCAAACCAGTGAATACTTAACAAACTTTACACACAGGTATCATAATCATCTATTTAACGACATTCATAAGAAAACCGCAACAAAAAAAACAACATGATTTCAACAGTTTTTATTACATATAATCACATGACTCACTGTGAACAATTTATACAATCAAAATACATGTATATCATGTAACATAAAATGAACATACATGGTAGATATAACTGCTTAAAATAAAACCAACATGTTGAAATAAGCCTCTGTATGTATAAGCATATAAAACATGCAAGGTATTACATAAACAGATTTTATGTTCAAATAAATGTCAGAGGGAGTCATTGACCCTGGAAACTGTTGACACTGTGACCTCTGAGTAGGTCTGGCAAGTGTGTATACCTGGGAAGTATGGAGACACTAAGCGGAAGGACTTCCTTGTTATAATTAAGTGAAGGACAAAGAGACAGAAAAGCAAACAAACAGAGCAAAAATAAATTCGCCGACGGGATTTCCTGATCCAAGGGCATAAAAATGTGTAAGGATTTTACATATAAACCATGAAACTTGTATATAAAATATAATATGTAAGCTTTCTAAAAAGCACCACAAGCTCTTGATAATTTCATAGAAAAAACATATGACCTTGCTTTAAAAGCCATTATAAGGTAAAAAAGTTTGTAACATATGGCAAAATACAATAAAACAAATTACAAAAGCATTAAAATCACATTGCTTTCATGTCTTCCTTTAAAGATCTAGTCTAGCAGAGTATCTATAAACTTTTCTTGTTTTAGCAAGAAGTGTAAAACAAATATTTCTTTCTTTAGAAAACAGATAACCCAATTAAGTTTTGTAATGTTTAAATAATGGTCTTATTTTTAGGCAAGTTAGATGCATAACACTTGAAGAAGAAAAGTAGAGTTGACTGTGAAATTATCTGTCATAAGTTTAGCAAAATGTAAACAAAGTAGTATTTTGACTTCCATACAAAACAATAAATCACTATAACTGTACTAATTGCCAAAAAGCAAAAAAGCAAACAAAGCAAAAGGCTCAGGTAAATGACCATTGACTAACCTTTAAGTAAATTATATTAAGATACCACAATTAGAAAGCTTTTGATAAATAAACATAAAAGCATTTCTGAGGTTTATAATGGGCCTTAAATGCATAAAAAACAACAGATAAAACATTGATTTTCTATCAAAATATTCAGCTGCTAATTGACATATTTTCTCTAGGCACTTCTTGGGAAATTTATGAACATCCTTCTATCAATTTTTGGTACATATCAATAAGTATAATTTTGATCAAGATTAAACAAATATATTCTACAGGCTATTATATCTTCATGCCCTTTGATTAAAGTTAAAGGTCTAGAAAAAGTTTTTTTGAGTATTTATACAATGTATAATATTAAGAATCTTTATAACTATAATTTGCAACACTATTATGTATATACAAATTTATACAGGATATAATTGGTATAGTCAATTATAATGACTGACTATTATTATATCATAACCAGAGACATAGATAACAGAGATAGGCAACTTCCTAGCCAGTTAAAATATCACGCGTGCCTGTTAAACTTAAAACTTGTAGCATGTAAAACTTATTAACCAGATATCAAAATCAGTAAAATAATACATTTTCTGAAAGCTTATGCATTTGTCTATGGCTGCAGGTAAAAATATTTACAGTTCCCATTTAAATAAATGTTACATCATTTTTTAAAGAGAACTACTATAATAATTTTTGTTACAAAACTATTCATATGACAAAAAACTGGCTCAGTGGGTATGTTCTGCCATGTTTTTCTAAGTGAAAGGCATGGAAAGTTACCAATATTTTAACATGCAGCAAAAGATAAAAGATTTACCTTTCAAATGGTATATAATATTAAAGGATCAAATGTACATCCATTAAGTTTTATTTGCTACAAAATGCCTAATATTTCACTTTTTGATAGGCATGAGTGATATTTCAATGGAGTATATAGGAGCTGCTTATCTCTGTTATCTTTGTCTCTGATCATAACCAAAGATGCTAAAATGAAAGTTTAATATACCAAAACAACTACATGTATGAGTATTTTGACATGATAAAATAACCTGTCATAAGATTCTATTACAAATTTATAATATTGCACATCCAATTTATTTGATTATTATTGTTACCTATAACATGATAGATATGTGTAATGAGCTTCCAAATCTTGACCAGCATCATTTTTGGTCAACACAATGTGGATCATGATCAGCCATTTGTGTAAGTCTGACCAGGCTTTATACTGTTGGCTGACCCAATGTTTAAATTTCCTGATTTCCCTAAAATTGTTAATGGATAGGTCCAAAATAAAAGGTGGACAGTTCCATTTAAAAAAACTCAGCAAATAAAAGATTAAAAAGTGAGAAGAAAATTTAAGAGAGAAAATAATAAATGACCAGGGCTGGCAGTTTAAAATGTGGGTATGTAGGGTGACTATGGAAACATGGAACATTTTTGGCCTTTTTACCAATCAAAACCCCTCATTTATTATAGGTATTTTACATGTAATTACTATTACAATCATATCAGCCAAGCATGTTAAGACATTTTCAAAATATAAAATTTGTAGAAAATCATATGAATTTTCAAAAGAGTATTGTCCCCTACTTTTATAAAATGTTTCGACTGAAACAGCAAAATAAATTAAGATTTATCATTTTAAGTTTAGGTTTTAAACTACATAAATAAGCAGACTACATATCAAAATGTTAAAAAAAAAACTGCAACAAAGCATTATAACAAGCCTCAGACTTTTAGTAAACAAATATTTTGTCTATTTTAAAATGCATAAAATTTTAACATGTGTATACAAGCATACATGCACAAACACAATTTCAAAAGTTTTGTAATTATTTAGCTATAAAGTGCATAAAAAATGTTAAAATATGAACCTTTTAAACCACGTAAAAAGTAAGAAAGCATGAAATAGTAATGGTTAAAAAATAAGTAAATTTTGAAATATACACATGTTTAAAACAACAACAACATTTGAGCCGCGCCATGACAAAACAAACATAATGGGTTTGCAACCAGCATGGATCCAAACAAGCCTGCGCATCCGCGCAGTCTGATCAGGATCCATGCTGTTCACTTACAAACCCTATAACAAGTAGTGAAACTGATAGCAAACAGCATGGATCCTGATCAGACTGCGCGGATGCGTAGGCTGGTCTGGATCCATGCTGGCCGCAAACCCATTATGTTGGTTTTGGTGTGACGCGGCTCAAATTTTATACATGATTTATCATTATATTATATAACACAAGACTGTATACAATAAAAATAAGCAAGCTTTCTTGCATAATAAAATGAACATTATATCTAACATTCAATATTTGATGATTCATCAAAATTTATGAAAAATGTTGTTGAGCAATTAAAACCTCTTATACATAATAATAAACAATAATAAACCCCAACTTTAACAACATGCATGTCTGAAAATTGTTCTCACAAAAAGGGTCATTTCTCCAGACTTATTTGAAAACTATCTTTCAAAAAAAAAAAAATTATTTACTGTTGTTTTGGAAACCAGAGTTATTCAAAATCTCTAAGTTATCTTAATTTTATGCGAATTGAAATTATACGCAAATATTTAATCGCACAAAAATTATTGCTTTCTTCCACCGTTTGAAAACATGTTTTCACACAGCATCTTACATGAATTAAAGTTTGAATGTTCAGGCACTGAAATTAATTTTTCTCATTGCTTGTTTGATTAAGTTTGGTCTTAACAAATCACAAATTGATTGCATGGTATATGTGATGTGATTTAAAAGGAGAATAAATCTTTTTATTGAGTGGACAGACAGGCAGTAAATAACCACAATTTGCTTTTACTTGTGAGCTTAAATGATTAATCTCTTAAAACACATTTCGTTGTATATTACAGTGAAACCTCTGTAAAGTGACCCCCTGTTAGAGTGACCACCTGTAAGAGCGACCCCCTGTGAGAGTAATAACCTCTCCTTAACAACCATAACATAATTTATAAATCTTCCCCAATACTAATAGACTCTAGATTTACCCTCACTATAGCAACACTTTATTCGGGAATAACATAAATCTTTTACTCACAACAGGATGTTACTATGTGAAGGTTATACTGTACTTCCTGTATTCGATGTATATTCATAGAACTTTATCACAATCTCCGGAAATGAGTTAAATATAAATGATGTAAAAAAAATGAAACCAGCTGTTAACTTCAATATATCATGTTAGAAGATAAGAGGAAATGAACATCCTGTTTAATACAGGATAGATGAAATCAAGAATAATTTATAATACATGACAGATGTAAATTAAAGTGTCACACTTCAGTATCCTCTTTCATATATTAATTATCACTTAAACATTTGTAAGAATTTTTACCCCAAAGCATCAAAATCATCTTAAATACTACTTGTTGACAAAAGCCATCTTAAATATTACTTATTGACAACTACTTGTGATGACACATTATTTTTTCTGCTTGACAAATATTTTGTGTAAACAGTTAAAATGTTTGCAGTAAATTAATGAAACATCTCTGCCATCAATAATAAAATCAGGCAAATTTGTACAATCTGTCCATGTTATAATAAAACTAGTCCAACCTGAAAGTTTGTACAAGATGACTAGGCTATAATACAATCAGGTCAGCCTGAAAATCTGTACAAACTCTTACCAGATTCTTATACAACTAAGTAAGCTTTAAATTCTGCGATTTGACCAGACTCTAATACAACTAGGTAAGCATTAAAAAGACTACCTTTAATCAATTTATCAATTTGCACATATAAGAAAAGTTCTTGTTTGATTTTCCTTCATCATAAATCAACAAAATAAACACTATTTAAAATATGGCAAAAAATATCAACACCTTAGACTATTTGAACATAAAGTGACACTTTCGCCACCAGTATAGCATAAGGCCAGCCTGCACATCCATACAGTCTGACCTGGTTAGTAAACTGTTGGTCCACTGACTGCACTAACTGAATTTCATCTCAATATCTCCAAACCAATGACTAACAGTTCCAAAAATGGAAATACAAAACATCTTCAACAAATTATAATTCTGGTTAAAATGAAAATTCATCCTTAGACTAGTGTACTGTAACTTATAAGTATGGTGGTTGATTTGGTACATTGCATTGTCGATAGATATATTGTAATCCCCTTTCGTCTTGTCGCTAGTGTCAACACAACACAGCGCCAAACGTTGTCATGTGGCGTTTGTCACTTAGCTTATTATAAGCCAATCCTTTGATTTGAACCGAGCGACAATGTGACATCACGCCGCACGAAAACGCCGTTTGTGGTACATCGTAAGGGACAGGACAACAAGACAAAAGTCCAACAATGCGCCGTTTAGTGCTTTGTCCTGTTGTCGCTAGCACGACTCACTAAAGGGTTCCAAATCAGCCACCATATATAACCCTTAACAGCTTGTGTTAACCCAGGTTCATGTATGAATCGATTCATTGTAATCTAATACTTGGTATAGGCCTAAAACTGTTTCAAAAATCTCATACAATTATGTACAATAGGGATTTAACTCATTACAGGACTGGAGCAATACCTCTAGACGCTTGCAGAAACCATGATCACTAAATAGACAAATATTGTTGTTTTTTCCGCCGATAATTACATTTTTCATTCATAATAGTACATAAATCAAGTGAAAAAAGATGAATTAGACCTTTTAAAGTTCATTTCGTTGGGTAAAAAAAGGCTAAATTTTAGCATTTTATCATTCAAGCGCCTTGTCAGGTATATACTGGAATACGGTATTTAGTGTGGTGCTCCAATCCTTTTTTTAGTCTCACTCGTACAATAGACGGTTTCAATTCCCCACCCCCACAATTAATATGAACAAAATATCTGGAATATTTATGATTTGGCAAGAGTTTTGAACACCTTTTATGTCTTTATACAGCTATTTTCCGACCACCTGTATAAAAATTTGAACTTCCTTTCACTACCATGTGCCTGTTCCTAAATATCCTTGAAATTGTTAGTTCATTACTGGAAGGACTTTTCCATGTGTCACATTAAATAATAGACATTTTTCCGGAACTCGGCAACGTGGGTTTTTCCCAGCTAATCTGTAGGTACAAACTAACTTTTACCGTTTTAGCTTCACGGTGCACTACCCATCACAATAGATTAGTCAACCTGTTTCACTTCATATTAGTTTTTTTTTTTATAGTTAATATTATCAAATTAAAAAAACGCCTATAATTTTGCCTTTATGTTATTTATGGACCATCTTTAAAACAAGGTCAGCATTACATGTGCAGTCATTGTGTAAAAACCAGTGATTCCACTTCTGTGCACGCTTCATTTTATTTAAGTTACCTGCAATGACACAAAGATAGAACAATATATTTAATGACTTCATAAAACAAAATAATATTTTATTATCACTATACATAATCAGCAATAGCTTAAATGACTTTTCTACCCTCTAGGCACAAGAGTTACAAAGTACATGAACATTCGATATGGCCATATATGCCAGTACATTTCACTAAATGATTTCACAATATAAAGGCCATTGTCCTTAATCATTTACCCAACTTAATGCCATCTGATAATTTCCTGCACTGTTCACTATTCAGTCAATACAATTATAATCTTGAAATTTTCCTTAAAATTTTACAGTGGCAGTTTTTGTCCAGATTTAAAAATGGACATGTCTGTTTATTTGGAAAAGAATTATCTTTCTTGATTATCATCACTTCTTAAACTAATGGTTAAAACATATTTCTTTAAGCTCGATTGCGAAACAAGTTCTTGCAACTTATATTAATCACTTTCGAATCTGCCTCCTGGAACCAACCAGTACTTGTGTAATATGAAGAAACATGGTCGTGTAACCCAAGTAGGGCTCAATCCATGATATCTGGGTTGAGAGGCAGATCGACACCTTAACCACTAGGTCACAGCTCCATCCTCACTTCTTTAACTAATCAGTACTGGTGCCAAATTTATGAAGAAACAAAACTTGGTTATAAACAATTAGTACATGTTAATATGTGGTGGTGGTGTTGGAAGTTTTCACTTTGGATCACGGCAGTAAGCCACATTGAATTTACCAGAGCACAGTTCAGCCACCGCATCGTTCCTTGACAGGCTGTTAAGCAGTTTACCAGTAGTAGTTCCTTTCACCTTGGCAAGAAACTGATAACTTCTGTACATGCCGGAGCAGAGGTACACAGTTCTAATGACCGTAGAAAAGAAAGATTTCATGATGAATCACAACAAAAGTGACCTGCACTGTCCAGGAATCGAACCCTGGAATAAGGTCGCCAGATTCACAGTCCAACGCTTTACCTAGTGAGCTAACCAGATGGTTACAATTTGTAGGACATGTGGCTGAGCCTTGATTATTGTCTTATTGGGTTGAGAAACAGACAAATAAAACATTAAGCCTATTATTAATGAATCCACCCTTATGATCAGTGCAGTAATATTTAACAGTGTCCTTTGCAAAATGTTTATTTAAATGCTTGAAATTACCATGTACTTCCTGCTTAAGAGAGTTTTGTCAACCATTTGTTTACTTTACTTTCATCAGCAAAAGATGTTATTAAAAGATTTGAGAAGTCATTTGTAACAATTTTATAAATTTCTAATAAAATAAAGAATCTTATCCAAGTGTCTTTTCATATTGAATATATTAAACAAGTTGAATTAATTAAAGTGATAAAATACAAGGTTGCAATGTGCATTTTTATTTTTTGGATATTTTTTGGGGGATATCAAGACTGAAGAAAATCTGAAGTTAGTCAGCCATCAATAAAAAGCCTGCGTCAGACTTCACTTGTCAGATTTTGCTCAGGTCAAATTTCAATGGTCAATTAACTACACAGATGTGCAGTTAGCCTGGGATTCAGGCGTTGATATTTTTTGCTTATTCATAACATATGCAATACATTTTGTATTTCATACTCATTCGTGTTATCCATTATATCAACAATATCGATTTGTTGAACAGAAGCACATAAAAAATCGACAGACTGGAACCCAGGCTAATGTGGCAACAGTAAATCACTTCCGGTTCAGGGTTAGGGTTAACTTCGGTTTTAATCTCTATACATGGTAACTAGGATCCAACACCCTAACTTTCAAAATCCAACAATGTGAACAGAACTTTGTGCAAATTTTCCCTCGCTTGGCAACTAAATAATTCATTTTTACAACATTGTTTGTTACACCTTTTACCTACCGGGTATATTGTAAATACACCATGCATTGACCCGGAACAGGTAAAGTATGTTATATAATACCAGCAGGATATTAAAAGTTTGTTGCAGTGTAACTTTAAAGATCATATGTTATGGTTTGGATCGAAATATTAAATTTACAACATGGGTAAAACTAATGGAAATGCCATTCTGATATGCAAGAATAACTTAAATATATGTCATCAAAATTAATGAAAACATATAATGTAATTTTTTACAAAATGGTCCAGTTAATTTAATTTATCAAAGATATAAAAACACCAACCTAGAACAAAATTATTACTGATGACTATTGTATTTTGACTTTTTCTTTCCTTCTCAGTGAGCTCGTACCATTGTCCATCCGCATATGTATGTAGTGGCAGTTCCCGCGTTCTCACATTGGCAAACCTTAAAACATAGATTAAAATGTTGTCATCATACTGTAATGTTTTAAAGCCACAATTACATTGTGAACATCATATTGGGATTAAAATCACCCTTCTTAATCTTATGAGTACTGTTATCATGATAAACTTTGATGTGCCTCTATTTTATTTCTGGACAGGTGCAGACACCTAAACAGTAAAATTAACTTAGGTAAAGTCAGGTGCTATTGCTGTGAAAATATATATGTGGACTATATACATGTATATTATTATGCTATACATGTATTTTAGAAACTTTAATTCCATAACTGTACAAAATAAATGAAATAACATCAACACTGGACTTTTGTGTTATATATTACAATCATTTACTAAAAGGATAACTGGATGTCACGGATTAATTTAGAAAAGGACCGACATCAGTATCCCATTCCACAAACTGAGAGTTTCCGTGTTGGGCGCTCACTACGCCAGGCATTTCAATTCCTTGCATGACCCCAAAACGAGGGCCCTGCCTATAGAGATACACTTTCCAAATTTCAAAACAACTGCGGTTTGACCACTTTCTGCGCATTATTTCCATGAAATCATTCATCCATGATCATGATGGTTGACTAAGCAATATAGAATGTGAAAAATGTACACACTTTCAACTTTCTTAAGGAAAGAGATGTAAGAGGAAATTATCAATTTCAGTATTCTTACTATAAATAAAAGTTTTATGTTGGCAACATTAATTAAAAAAATCTTTAAAAGTTTGTGACCTTAGCACAATTCAGGGAGGCAGTTCTTATTCAGACACTTAAATTTGCGGCAAAGACATGAAACTCTTAATACTGATGTTAAATGCATGATATTTGTTATAAAACATTTATCAAACTTTTATTTCTTATGGATTTTATACTTGTTTTAAAATTGATAACAAAATTTTAATAAATTTCAGGTGCTGATCAAAGATTATTCTTAGATAGGGTCGTAAAATATATTTTAACAACCTGCCACATAACTTATTACTTCCAGTGAGAGTTTGGGATTTCAAGCGTAACCAGTTTTTCACAGAGTCACTTGTCCAATTTTTGTGCAATTTTCATCACTTTTTGCATAATTTTCACTCGAAAACTAGAAAATTAGAAGTTGACATTAAAACTTCAGATCTACGAGTTTGATATACTAGCCAAATCTCAGGAGTGATGGAGGTGGGGGGTCATATGGCCCCTTAACCCCTCATCTAACGCCTTTGAATCCTTGCGTTAATCTAGTAGATCTAGTAATCTATCAGACATTGTTTTAACATGTATGAGATATTGATTTATTTAACATAATAATAAATTATAGTCCATTATAAACAATAATAACATACAATGTAAGAAGTGTCTTTCTTAATAACATAAGAAGTGTCTTTCTGAGTACAATGTAAATTCATTGACATGTAAGTGCGTTTATTGAAATTTGAACCCATGATCATAAGTGATTCAGCTACATGTATTAAAGTATAAATGTGCTTCAAAGGCCATGATATATGTATGTAAATATACTGATGCATAAATGTCAATTCATGCAAAATGTTCAAATTAACATTACCTTAAATATTTCTTAGTTCTAAGACGTATTACTTTATTATAATCTTGGGGTGGGGGCAGGGGGTTTGGGGCTAGGAGTTGTTAAGTTTTATCACTTACCTTTCCTTTATCAAAGTTGTAAAATACACTTGGTCATTTTCATCTGCTGACACTTCAAAAGTTTCCGATTTCTTGGCGATCTGTTTTTCCAAATCATGCATCATATCTGTTAGCTTTTTCCATAGAGCTTTTGACCGCACCGTTGGAAACATGTATAAAAATCCACCATTATACACCACTTCAGTGCTAGTCACTGGGTTTATTAGAAAGTCAACACCTTTCATATTTTGCAAGCCAGGTAATGGATTGTCAAACCACATATAGTCAAATTCTAACAATAGAATTTCTATGTCGGCCTGTAATAATTCTAACAGCAGTTCCGTTCTTCGTATCATAATTTGAACATATCCGGCCTTACTGTATTCCTGGTTACCTCGTGGAATGTTCAAATTAAGTTTAACAACGTTTAAGTCAGGACAATCTTGGTTCAGTCTTCGTTTAGAGAGAGAGTCTGTAGTTATAACAAGAACTGATTTATGAATATTCATATGTTTAGTATTGCACAGCCAGCTGTAAGCAAATGGTAGAAATGCATCGTTCACTACACTAACGAGAACTGCACCATTATGTTTACTTGCAGCCTTTGCTACAGCCACAACTTGTTTCATATCATCTGATTTATCATCGTTGCCAGGTATTTGGTCTGTTACCTTTGACCCTATATGTCCTACAGAACAAGCTTTCTGTATAATTTCCAGTGACATGTCGGGCTGTGACATATACATATACCATGCAACACAAGTGATGGTGAAGATTACACAACACCGAATCACTATGCCTCTTAATCTTGTAAAATTCATGTCCATCCTTTGCCACCTCATATCTGAAATAAAACATAATATCTAAAATATATGTTTAATGTTTAAAAGTATAAACCTGGCACACCCTGATATAATAAATACATGTAGTAATGGTCACACAGACCTCAGACATATATATCAGAGATTAATTAGGATTGACTAAATAAGTGACATAAGGATAGAGTAAATTAGAGAAATTAGGATAGACTTAATTAGAGAAATTAGGGAGAAATTAGGATAGATTTAGAAAAAAAAGTAAGGAAATAAGATAAATTTATTGGATCTTGGGTATCTGTGTGTGCATTACTTTTAGCAGGAGCACCAGAGCAGTACAACTACTTATTCTTCAGCTAGCTGGATTTTAGGACTTCCTCTCATGAAAGAATCCAAAGTCAATGGAGAAATTAGAACCAAGGAACCACCAACATTATAAGTTATAGGGTCTGCATGCTTCCTTATTCAAAAATACACATTTGAATATATTATGTTAAGCCAGGCACTACTTTTTTACTTTCATGATCAAAATTATCATTATGTCTTAATGATTTGATAACATATTTTGGTTCAATGGATAGCTAGCTGATTATGGGTTTTGGTCTGCTTCATCCAGCTTCTCAAAGAAATATCACATAGGTGTGAAATCTTTTGATGGGAGAAATAGAAGCTGGTCAGACAGCATCTTTGATAATGAAATTAATTATCGACAAGAAATATATGATTTGATCTGATAAATTCAAATGGGGGCAGATACTTTGTTAAGGGTAAAAATTTGGATATACAGATTTTGGGGGTAAGTTAAGTCAGTTTATGTCTTAGGTTTATGTAAGATAGGATAGAATGAAAATACATACATTACAGTAAAATAACTTAATAAATTACATGTATATAATATTATATAGAATTTAGAATAATTTTTGTTCAAGTGCATAAATAATGAAAGGTGGACTAAATGGGGTTTGCATTTCGTTATCTGCCTGGAATAGAAGAAAATTGAACTAATGCTTGGTTTATACAGAATTTTAACGTTTTTTTATTTCAATTGTGTAGGAAGCTATAAGCTTATAGATACACTTTTGAATCCGTTCCTGGAACCAACCAGTACTGAGCAATGAGTGTTTAGTTTCTTGCTCAAGGAAACCCTAAGGAGTTTGAACCCATGCGGCTAGCGATCATTAGATTACTAGTCCAACGTGTCATCCACTAGGCCATGCTTGGTTGTTTAAATTAATCTCTCTGAAATATGAAAAGGAAAGGCCAATTACCTACCGAGTGGTCAACATCATAAGAGAGCTTCTGACCGCATATATGAGCTGCGTCACGACAAAACCAACGTAATGCCTTTGCGACCAGCATGGATCCAGACCAGCCTGCGCATCCGCACAGTCTGATCAGGATCCATGCTGTTCGCTTACAAACCCTATAACAAGTAGAGAAACTGATAGCGAACAGCATGCATCCTGATCAGACTGAACGGATGAGCAGGCTGATCTGGATCCATGCTTGTCGCATACACAATATGTTGGGTTTTGTCATGACGCGGCTCATATGTATAATATAACTTGGGATAAAGATTATATTAGGAAACATAAGATACTTGTTGAACATTGCATTACATCTGTCTGTTATTATAGCAATTTTCCCACACACAAAACAGGCCTAAAAACATCAACAAATTTGTTTACAGTTATTAAGTATGCATAAAGGAAAAATTTTCAGTTTCCAGGAGATAACTGTGACCTAACAGTTGTTATGTTTCACTTGACAATCAGATAAAAACACTCCTTTTATTACATCCCTAAACATGTACCTGGATTATCAAGATATGTTCTTCATTTTTGTCTCTTTTTATATAGACATAATTTTCTACGATAAATTGCACATCATTTGATTACAGGATAAAAAACTTACCAAGCCCACAATTGTTTTAACCACAACCAACCCAGTAAATTCAACTGCAGGACTCTCATTAGCATTTTAAGACTGGGGTCAGGGTCCATGCTGAGGGGGAATTTTGCATGGTTTTCAAATATTTGTCATTCAAGGGGCCAGGATTTCAACAGAAGAAAATTCATTCATAAAAACAAGTGAAAGTGTGATTCAATTAACAAATTTATCATCAATAAGCTGCTGTCATGAAATATTTTGGTTATTTCCAATGAAATTGAGTAAATTTTTTATACTTTGTATAAAAATTCAACCCTGATCTATGGCTGTTATATATTATTATTGAGGAGGAATTTTTTCTGTTTTAGGGGGAAAAAACACACTATTTTAATGGGGGAATGGGGCCCATATTCGGCCCTAAATTTTACCAAACGAGAGCCCTGAACTGAGTGGGTCAATATTTACATGTACAATACAAAATGTCACAACTGTTTAAATTTACAGCAGGATAAACTTTGCAAATACTTTACTTGAGTTTTTTTTTGTCTCACAAAACATGTATTAATCTTCTAGTGCCATGTAAACGAATGTACAAGTCGGTGGTGAAATTTTTTATGACATTTTATTTAAACAAGGGTCACCACTGGACGAGGGCAACGCTCTACTTATACTTTTTCAAAAAGCTAACAAACACATATTTAAACAAATCTTTAAAAAGAATATTCATGAAAAAAAAAGTGTTTCCTTATTTTAATTTTAATAGATCTGTCAAGTCACACTTGTTGTTTTGTCCAAGTATGAATCATTTTCATAAATAAATGTTTAAGTTAAGAAAATTATAATTTAAAAAAATTAAATTAATTAAAATTAATTAAAAATTAGATTAGAAATTATAATCTAAATTCAAGTATTTGACAGTCAAGGTCATATCTAAATTATACAATATGTCCATTTGATTACAAGTGTTGTTTTGTCCATGTATGAATCAGATCTGTACATATATGACAACTTAATCAAAATTCAATACTTTGACCTTGACTGTCAAGGTCATTTAAAGCATAAGGTCCAGGTCAGTTCCACCTTTTAGAATGGTTGTTTTGTCCCTGTATGAAATGGTTGTTTTGTCCCTGTATGAGTTACAAAAGCTCAATTTCACTGTATGAGTTACAAAAGCTCAATTTCAATGTTTAAGCTCAACCTTTAAGGTCTTGTCCAAAAGCTCAATTTCAATGTTAGCTAACCTTTAAGGTCTTGTCCAAAATGTTGTCTTTGTCAAAGTATGAAGATAATCCAATTATAAATTACCAAGTTACAGTCAATTATAACAAAAATAAGTGCAAATTCAATAATTTAACCTTAAAGGTCAAGGTCATTAAAGAGCAATGATAAATTTGAGTTTGATAAACATGAGGGTCTTATCCTATAGAATGTTCTGTTATAACATGAAGTCAATCAATTCAATAATAACAAAGTTATAGCCAAATACAACAAATAAAATGAAAATTTAAGTAATTTGACCTTCAATGTCAAGGTCATTTATGAGTGAATGTTTATATTAATAAAAGATTATTATGTTCAAGTTTGAAGCTAATCCATTCAAAAATGGAAAGCCACAGACAAAGCTACAGACACTAATAGCAAAAATCACCACACAAAAAAGAGGCAACATTTTGAGATTTGACCTTTAAGCTCAAGGTCATTTATGAATTAATGTCAAGGTTAGCCAGGTCAATGTGAAAGTAATGTCGTTGTCCAAAGGGTTCTTGTGGCCAAGTATAAAGACAATTCTCCAAGAACTTAATAAGTTATGATCAAGCTACAAGCTAGTAGACAGCAAGGGCTGCTGCAGCAACTTCCACCACAAACGTGACTGCATGTAACAATACCTCTATTTTTAATAAAAAGAAGTCGAGCTAAAAAACGCTCAAAATATTTTGTGTTTGATTGTAGCTTTAAAAGGAATGGATACGAAATTCGCAGTACATAAATGAAATCACTGTACCCTGTCTTGTGAGCCTATATCCTGTCTTGTGATTACAAGGATGACTGTGTTACTTCCTGCTTACACTGTAATCTTACTGGGGAGCCAGTCAGCCATTATATATTTTGAACTTGTACCTTTCTTGAGATAAGTGACGTAAAACCTGATTAAACAGATAAAAAAGTTCTTGCGATAACCTGAAGTACGATAACCTGAAGTAGACATGTTTTTTTTTATACTGTGAAATTAAATGAAGGAATTTATGCTAAGTTATTTTTTTTGTACTGTGAAATTTAATATCAATATCTGAGGCCAAGTTATTTTGTATAAAGTTAATTTAAATTTGAAAGATGCATGAACATTCCTGTGATGTCCCTTGAGGGTGATGAATATTAATTTATTAAATTGAACTTCAATTTTGATTTGACTGATTTATAATTATTATGTTTGAACCAATAATATTGATTCAAGTAATATACAAACTGTTAAATTGAAGATGTTCAACAGATTTTCTGTGAAACTTTGTAAACAAAATATTTTTATACATCATTCTATTCTTATAAATTTACCCACAAATATTCTATAAATTACATGTAATTATAGCAGTATCCCAAAAAATGAAGCTGATTATAACAATAATAATTCATTAAATATTATGAGATACCCTGGAAGTTACAATAACAGATATTGTGGCTATCATATGATTGAAACAAGTCTAAGTCATTCATTTAACATGTTCTTTAACATTTCTTTAACAGTTCACTGTGACAACAATTTGTGAAGTCTTAATGCTCTAACCTGACCCACTTGGGTCAGGTTAGAAAACCATCATCTAATACTTTATAATGAGAAAAGATTTGTTCCTATGACTGCCTAGAGTATTCATTTTGAGGACATTTACAGAATATTATGAATGAAAAAATCAAAACAAAGAAATGAAAATTTTGCCTGTGTCTCCCTTTAAATGATGTTAAATGAAACATTTTATTATGTCAAACCATCTGTGTTTAAATTTCATGATTTGCTTAAATTACTTATTATAAAAAAAAAACAATATTGTAAAATTGTGCAAATTTATGAAAAAGACATTTGTTATTCGAAATTTATTTATAAATAATAATTAATACCTGATGCAATAGTACTACTACTAAATTATTACCTTACTGTCTTTGTTATCCATACAAAAAGTCATGTATGTATTATAATTTAAATTATGTAAATTTATGTTAAATTTTAGCATATATTTAACTTGTGTTATATGTTCTAAATAATTATGTGGCATGTTTAACACTGATGATTTAAAGTAGTAAGATGATAATTATACTTATGTTCAAATCTAATAAAATGTCCGTTCTGTTCTTCAACTTCAGGGATTTTTTTTATTTGCCTATTTTATAGCCAATATTCGGTCATATTCCTTATTAAAAATAGTATACTATTTTCCCAGTTGACAAGAAAAAATTCCCAACCGAAGTTACAAAATAAAAATATTGAATAACAAATTCTTAAATCTTTTTTTTTTTAAAAAGAGGGGTTCTTCGCTGTTAAGGTGTTTAAATGTTTGAAGATGACATCCTAGACAGTGATTCTTTGCATTTATTTAATCACTGCAAAATTTATTTCATGCATTTTTTTCCAATTTTTCACAAAACATTGCCTAAATTCCCAATTCCATAGGTATGGGTCATGTTCACAAAATCCTGGAATAAACCCTGCAGCGTTCCATATCATTATTTTGAAACAATTATGGAAATAGATCTACTCATAAAGAGATATATTATATAGCAAAAAAAATATTTTCAGTTGGTTTTGATAAAATCCATGCGTATTCATCATGCAAATTCCACTGCAAGTATAACATATGATTATAAAAGTACATTTATCTATACTGTTCACTTAATCTTTAAAAAGTCTTACTTTGAATTTAACTGAATTTTATTTCCTTCAATATCATGTACAATTTCCTAATGTAGTTTTAAATTAACTAAAATTACACCGACTGTTAAAGCATTCAATCTGTAAAATCATATCAACAATTCTATATATTATATATATCCTGTATACCAACTGTGAGTTGAACATGAAATTTTAATGTATATTTAAAGCAGCATGCCTCCAGATTCATGCTAATTTTCATGGAAATGTATTGTATATTGTGAACAAGAAAAGTAATTTACACATTCAATCCACATAAATACCAAAAAGAGGTGGATATTATATAAATTATTAGTTATAACGATTCTTGACAGGTTATACTGACCCTATATAAACCGTTGTTTGTTATATATAACCCGAGCAGCTAAGCAAGGATTATATTGCAAACAACCATTAATATACGGCCATATAAGATGTCAGGAATCTTTATTACGAATTTATAATACAGCAAACTTCCTTTTTAAGGGGGAAAATGTGATTTCTTAATAAACTGACAGCAGCCATATATATAAAGCTATATAAACGTCACGATTATCCAATGAAAAGCGACCTTACAAACATGCAGTATTATAATTATATATATAGATGCAAAAATAGCCCTTACTAAGTTACTATGATGGCTGATTTGGAATGCTTTTGTGCGACAAAGTGCGCAATGTCCGACTCTCATCTTGTCGTCCTGGCCCCGTGTTCACAAAGATTTAAGGATCAAGATCAGGATCGAATTTAAAAACTCGAATATTCTCCTTTATTCATTCTCTTAGATTGAATTTTCAGAATTAACTTGATAAAACTGTCATGAAATAGCACGTTTATGAAATTTTAGAATGAATTTATTGTTATTTTTACAAGAAATAGGTATTTTACAGTTGATCCAAATTTTGATCTTGATCCTAAAATTGATCCTCATTTTGATCCGTTTATTTTTGCATTTGTTCTCTTATTTGTTGATTTTATCCCATAATTGGATGGTTTCTTTGCAAATAAGCAATTATATTTATTTTGAATATGTTCCATTTGATTCTAGCATAATACGGTCAGTTTTAGTTTTATAAAACAATGAAAATAAAATCAGGATCAACTGATCCTGATCCTGATATTTTCTTTGTGAACACGGGGCCTTGCGCTAATGATGCACGCCAAACAGCGCATTGTCATGCGGCATGTTGTCGCGGTGTCACATTGTCTCTCTGCTCAAATCAAAGGATTGGCTTATAAGCTAAGTGACAGGGTGACATCGCGCTGCACAACAACGTGCCGTACGGTGTGCTCAGCTAGAGACTGAGGACAACAAGTTGGCAATGCGACAACGCACCGGTTGACACATTTCGCTAGCGACAAGATGAAAAGACTATAACGATATAGGTTGTGTTGTGACGCTATCGACAACGCAACGCACAAAGTGTACCAAATCAGCCACCATACCTTCCTGTTGTAGAAACTTATTAATCAGAGATGTAGATAAGATGTTATCTATGTCTCTGATTTTATGTGTTAAGTCTCTAAGTAGAAATATGGCCATAAATATTACAAAATCTGTCATCCATTAATTGTAAATGTAAATTTATTTGTCACATGCATATTGAATCTTTTTACTTTTCTGCACATCAATAGTACATTTGGCCTTTATCTAATTTCCTTTATCTGGAGGCATGCAGCTTTAAACTCTGTATATATATATATGAGGAAGTACACATGATCATTTTATACCTATTATAACATACATGTATGAATGCATGCATGCGTATCATCATTCCTAATAAATAGCAAGGCCTAGAATAAAAACTATATTTGTTTCCCAATCTTGACTTAAGTCTGCTGAATAGGTAGATTCTCACAAAAATCACTCTGCAAACAATTTTAATGCCAAATATCTGTTAGAGCTACAATGAGTCTGTGTTTATACAGGTACATATATTAATATACTACCTGGTTTATATTTGTCTAGAAAATATCAAAACTTGTATATAAATATTAATTAAAGCTGAGACACTTTGAGCCATTGACATAAGATAACATTTCGGCCCCATAATTTCTTTTTACGAAAATATATATACATTATGTGTTATATAAAAATATTTCAAATAAAAAATACCATCTAACCTACATGTACCGCAAACTAGCACGTGTTCCTGGACTTATTTTAACAGCCTGATGCTACAATACAGGTACTGTTACTATAAATAACACAACATATTTTCAACACCTTAATTAAAACAACGAATGACAAAGATCTGCTTATAAATCGTACTTACTGCATTGTTAAATCCAAACAAACGTAATTTTACCACACTCTAGTATGTTACAAGTGTGTATATAAATACGCTGGATGATGCTGCCGATCGATACGCTCATTGATTTACTATGGTGTCCAATAATAGCCATGTTCTTTTAAGTCCTTCAAACATGACTCGTTTCAGTTTGAATAATTCTTCTGATCTAAATACGACAGTATGATGTAAATTATGGCGAATACACTTGAACCAGACGACCTTCCGCCTCGCTTAAACTCGCTCAATAAAAGTTGGCATAATCAGCCACCATAGTTTTTCCGACTGACCAACATTGTGTAATTTGAGTACATATAATCAGGGTATACATTACATAGTCACGGTTTTAATTAAGTCAAGCCGTGCTTCAGTACAATAAATGAGCCGCGTCGTGACAAAACCAACATAATGGGTTTGCGACCAGCATGGATCCAGACCAGCCTGCGCATCCGCGCAGTCTGATCAGGATCCATGCTGTTCGCTATCAGTTTCTCTACTTTTTTAGGGTTTGTAAGCGAACAGCATGGATCCTGATCAGACTGCGCGGATGCGCAGGCTGGTCTGGATCCATGCTGGTCGCAAACGCACTATGTTGGTTTTGTCGTGACGCGGCTCAAATGCCTTAAAAATAAACATGTTAATATCCTTGAATAAAATGAATATTGTAATTGTAGTCAACGTGCATACTAGCTAAACAGAGAATTAAATGAGCAAAAATAGATTTGTCGATAGAAAAATGATGCAAATTATATGTATTATAGTATTACCTGCGAAATACTAACTATATAACGTTATATTATGTCCCATGCATTATCAAATTACATGTGTGGCATGTGAGACTGCCCGTTTTAAATAAGCTAATCTCTTAACAAGCACTCACGTGAATCGTTATCTCAGATATCTACTATTGACAGCAAAACATGTTACATAAAAACAACAACAAAAAACAAAACAAAACAAAAAACAACAAAAAACATAATATAAAAAAATCACCGCACTTTGCGATAAAATTCAACGAATATTTCCAAGCAACACGCTATTGTACAACATTTGGGAACTGAACCCTAACTTGGTGCATAACCCAGACGGAACAAAATTTACAGTTTTCAAACAGTCGATCAAAATAAATTATTAATTATATAATCAATTATCATTTAATTATCTACTTAAATTCTTACCACTAGTTAGACCCATTAGCCAGAGTGTAAGGAAACATTAGTGTTTGAGCCTCCAGATTGATGCTTATTTTCATAAATTAAAAAAATGAGCCGCGTCCGCGCAGTCTGATCAGAATCCATGCTGTTCGCTATCAGTTTCTCTATTTGTAATAGAGTTTGTAAGCGAACAGCATGGATCCTGGTCAGACTGCGCGGACGCGCAGGCTGGTCTGGATCCATGCTGGTCGCAAACGCATTATGTTGGTTTTGTCGTGACGCGGCTCAAATGTATTTAAAGGTAAAATATTGAGAAGTGAACAAAGAAAATAATTTACACATTCCAAAGAGCACTTGTAGTCCGTGTAAATTACGAAAAGTGATCAAAATACACAAAAATAGCCCTTATTGCGTTAGTAACGCAGTAGAAATATATAGGGATGAATACTGCAAATTTAGCGCTTATAGTCGCACTTGACTTGTACATTATTGCTTGAATGATAAATCGCTTTACTTTTCTAAAAGTCATAGTACACTTTTCTACAGTTTAATTTGCTTGAAATATTTTAGCTCTTCTGGAGGCATGCAGCTTTACAAAGTATACTCTCAAAATGCCTACATATGAAATAACTATGTTAGTATATATCTTTATATAAGAACCAATGGCGAGTATATCCTTATGAGTCAATGGCACATGCTTAATTTAAACAGCTGCATAACATTTTGTTCCGGAACATCATGTCACAGATATATATACAATTTAATTAGCTCCATGATCATGTAATATAACTGAGTCAAACAGTGTTATATCTATTTCGAGAATAGACCTGGGACGCAAGTATCTTTCTGTCCCAGAATAGACCATATAATTATGAAGACCATATAATTTTACAGCTAATTCATTCTATAATTATTTCATTAGATATAGCTGTATACCCTTTTAGTTTGACCGGTAAACTATCTTCCAAAGTATTCTCTAAAAATTGAAAGATGAAAACATTACATTTTTAGTCCCAGCTAAAAAGTAAGCGGTAGATAGTTTTTTTTCTTGAATTTAATTCATAACGGCGAAAGAAGCATGTTGCCACACTCTTATATTCTAAGAACATCACCAAAAAAACACTTAATGTTCGGCGGGTTATGCTAAAAAGGGATGGATTATCCGACACTCAGATAATTTCGGGGCATCTGAAAACTGTAGAGCAGGGAATTCCGTGAAAACTATCATTTTGAACAGGTCTTACTACTACCTGCGTAATCTTACATTATAAATCCTCCTTCAGAGCAGATTGACCCGTCATCAGAACAGAACACGACAGAACAGTTATTGTGATGCTAGATCGCGGCAGTAAGCCAAATTAAATTAACTCGAGCACAGTGAAGCCACCGCATCGTTCCTGGGCAGGCTGTCAAGCAGTTTACCTCACTTCCGTACAAATTCTGCAAAAGCAAAAGTACTGTGCGGATGAACGTAGAAAGGATTTCATGTTCAATTTCTATGAAAGTGAGCTGTACCGTCTGGAAATCGAATCCAGGTCCTCCGATTCACAGTTCAATGCGTCAGACCAAACAAATAATTGTAGCGAAATTTCAGAGCCTAATGCTGTTAATTGCAAATGCCTAAAGTAGTCCACTTTTTTGAAGCGGTTACTTCCCTTTATATGTACACTAACGCCGAAAAATTCAGGGGAGATCAATGCGTAAAGATTGTCAAATGACAGGCGCATTAATTTTCAAGCAAAGTAGTTCCCGAATGGTCGAAGATTTCTAATATTGAGGCAACTCATGAAAAAAAAATTAAGTCAAATAAACATTGAATTGACTATCAGTGTTGCAATTAGTCTTATAGCCAATACTACAGTTATTTAAAACACTGGAAAGCATTGGTGGCACTATACAAAAACAAATTGGTTTATAATCTCACAACCTTCACCTTTCTGACATTCTGAGACCCAAACAAATTCAGCGCCTTCCGTGCTTTGATTTTGTTTGTTGGTTTGTTCGTTTGTTGCCTTTTTTAGTTTAAAATTTACTGAACACGGGAGATTTGTTGCCATAACATCTGTTTGAAAGTCGCAAAATAACAAATTTGTGCTGCAAAAAAAAATCAATTATAAATATTAGAACAGTTTTATGGTATATATAACGTACTTGTTCATTTTACATATTTTAAATTTAATAAAAAGAGTTTTAAATCATCACCAATATGTTGTCAATATAGCCTCTAGATAGTCACGAAATACCAGGATATCACTTCCTCTTCCAAAAATTTTCTCGGGGGAGCATGCCCCCGAACCCCCCTATTTAAGGAGTACATATCACAATAGCTCAGTTACGCCCCTGCTAAGTGAACGATTACAGTGAATTTGAAAAAAAAGTTACCAGCTTAAATGCAAGTCCCTCATATATTTGAAGAGATACGTTACCACACTTAAGGTAAACCTGAGTAAGAGTAATAAGAACTTGTAACATATTAATAGTTTGCTATTGAACTCAAGTTTTATCATATTTTATAATTCAAAAATAATTTTGACTACAATATACAAGCTAGAACCACGATGACTTTGCAATGATGAGGCAATTTGGATTATACTTTAAAGTGAAACAGATACGTTACTGAGAAACATTTCCTATTACCAGCACTTAAAAGTAGGATCGCATTTATGCATTATTCAAATATATGCTTAAAAAAACTTAATATTTGATCTATTTTGCAAACATATGTGTATATCTGATATATTTTAGATTTTTGACCAACAGATACGTTACCAACAGATACGTTACCAATATTCATTGTTGAATCTTAATTGGCGATTTTGCTCAGTTTTGAAATGGTTTCATGTTAAAAATCACAGCATAACGTAAGTGTAGCCGATAAATGATGCATTGATCTCGATTTCATTGGAAAACTGAAAATGTTAATCAGTAATTTGAAATTCAAGGATTAGTTTTCTAGAAAATAAAATGTTGAAAAACAGGAAAGAAACATATAAAGATTTACTGTTTTATTTCCTGGAATAAATATATGTTGATATCTTTTTGGTTTGCAAAATTTGTATTAAAAATAAAATGTAGAGGACTGTATAACTTCTGGTAACGTATCTGTTTATCATTGTAACGTATCTGTTTAGAAAGAGATTTGAGTACTGTTTAATATATATAACTAAATCTTCAACAAAACTTTGGTTTAAATTAGTAATATATGGTTAGACAATATATAACAGCACTGTAACGTAATGAAACAAAAACAACATATTAAAGTATTTTTAAATGAATGCCCGTTAGTTTCTAAATTTTAGTCAGCGTCGTATCAAGATAGTCTGTTTATGGTAGGAATGGACTAATTTGGATATAGATCAAAATCTTGGAGGTGCACATATATATGGATTGATTATAATACAACGTTGGTTTTCTTTAAGCGGTACCATTGTTTCTGATATAATTTTGTTAAATGTAGATAAGCATATACATGTAAGTTACTCATATCACCAAGTATAACACAATCAAGGATCGAGATTGTACCAGTATATAAAGACAATTGAACAGCAGATGAACCAAAAAGACAAACGAAATACAGAATGTCAATTCACACTATGAAAGACTCGCATTAATCAAGCTGTTACATATTCTAATAGATGGGTGTCTTTATTTAAATGTTCTTGTTAAAGTCACAATGTTATTTGACTATTTGAAGCTACAGTCAGAAAACAATAAAAACCTAAAAAACTGGAAAAGATTCTGTGTGTTCTATTTAATATTAAAAGTACTGGTTCAAATATATTATTTATTGGTCAGTTGTTTAAAAAACTTTATGAATATCTATCTACGTGTTTAGGGTTTTTCATAATTTTGTTCATAGTAAAACGGTGAAACAGATACGTTACTATGATTTAATATTTGTTTCTACTTACTGGATTAAATTTATACTGTTAAGTAAATCCGAGCAACATTGTGTCAATAGATAAGTATGGAACATCAGTATTTTTATTGACCTAAAATGCTTTTATAAGTAAATCATGTATTTGGAATAAA